TGGGCTTCCTTTTATTCCTGTACAGTATTTTCAGTCTAAATATTATGGACTGTTTGAATGAGAATATGTATGTAACACAGATCCACGTGAAAAAACTACTTAAAATATTTTATAGTTTCTGATGTAAACTATCAAAAAAATTGAAGTTGTATCAAACTTATATGTAATTGTAAATGTTTATTTATACAAGCAGGGCTTTATAGAGTTTACAACTGCATCCTGCATTGTAGTGTAGAAAAGGACTGATTTTATAAATGGCCGGGCTTGGTGAGGCAGGCTGGGTTCTAAATTGTGCTTGAGGTAGCCTGGAAGCTCATGAATAATAGGAGGACTCCTCCAAAAATATTATGAAGGAGAAAGGACTCAGCTGATTGACACTTGTTTTTTTTCACAGATCTTTACAAAGGGAACATCCCCCTCACCCAAACTTATGCTGGAAGTATAAAACGAAGTTTACCTTGGTTCTGGGAATGTGTTGCTCACTCTGTAGATAGTAAGTAAACCTTCCTGCATTCTTGATCGCTGATTAGTGTTGCTTTCCACGGGGCATTTCCACCTGACTTTGAAAAACAATACTGAGATAAAGTGAAATCATCTGCCTTTTTGCCTGGACTGACAGCAGGAGTGGAAGCTGCTTTGTTGTACACACAAGGAAACAGAGCCTCTTTCAGGGGTAATAGCTGTAAAATTCTCCCCACTGAAGTTTTTGTGTTAAAATGAAGATTTTTATTAGAAAAAAATCCATAGCTGTAAGAATGACTTCCCACCCCATTCCTACTTAGCACACCTGTCCCTTTCACAATGATTAAGGTTTGTAATTTAAAAAGTCTGTTATGATGTTGCCTGTTTATAATGAAACTTTATCTTTGATTCTGTGTTTGCAGTACAGCATGGGGGTTGTGGAATTTTGCCATTCCCTTTTACTCTGTTTCAGACAACCTTAGTGTGTTTGATTTTGTTTGAAACTCAATTTCCTCTGATGAAATTCCAGCAGTGGCATGACTGTGGGTTATTGCACTTGTTTGTAGAGAACGTGAGTTGCAGCTCAGTGTATTTGTTTGTTTCCATTTTTCCTTGCAGAGTCAAGGCCAGTGTGAGGGGTTTCCTCAGCAATGCTGGCTCCATGGTCTCAATGGCCTGCACAGCTGCCAAAGGGCTGTGCCCTAGGTACCAGCATGAACAGATGTTTAAGGAGTTGCCTGAACTGCTGAAGCACAACACTTGCAAAAACCTCAACTTACAAAAACTTGAGGGATGAGTCACTCATTTAGCAAAGAGCTGCAGCACTGAAGGTTTTTGCTCTGCTGCCAAGAGTTGGAGGGGTAGCAAGGGAGGGAGAGCAGGATCTTGGAGTGATCCACACTCACTTCATTCAAGTCCAATGAGCCACACCACCAGAGGGAGAAGTTTAAGGGAGACCCCTGAAATGTCAAAATGAAAGTACTGAGGATTACCCCCATTCTGTTCCCTCAGCTTTGCTGATAGGTCAGGGATCTTTGCCTGAGGGGAAGTGACAAACAGCCATTAAAGGAGTCAGTAGTAACGAAGACTAATTGTAGCTGTTTGCCCCATATGTACAACTGAAGTCTGATACGTGTTGCCTGTTGACATCTCTTGCTTGTAAACTGCTGATCAGTTGCTGAACCTGCTTTTGCTAAAAAGATGTTGAAATCCCTCAAGGAATTAGAGAAAAGGAGAGAAAAAATGAGAAATGTCTATATTTTCTGAGGATTAGTATTGCTTAATCAAGGAAAGCTTTTGGTAGGACTTTTCAAAGATGTAATGAAAATTGCAGAGGTTTAAGACAGATGAAATTTCCTATGCTGGTGGCTGGAGCTTTGTACTTGTGATGATGAAGATTTAGTGGAAACTCCTTTGAGTGTGAAGTAGGATGTGATTTTTGCAGTGTAGTTGCAGTTGTTTATCCTTGCAATGCAGCACCTTTTTGGTTAGGTAGCTTTTCTACTTGTACTGTTGGGTAGCTGATTTAAAAATAAAACAAAGAAACAATCCCCTCAAAAAGAAGCTCTTGGGGACTGAAAAATCTAGTGAAAGGCACATTGGAAGAATGCTGTTCTGGACAGCGTAATCTGGACCGTGCTTTAGGGGTATGTGATCAGGATGGGCAACTTGCCAGTGGTTGTAAAAAGATTTAAGGAAAGTGTAGTCTCTGAACTATGATGAAATGCCTTCTGTGATGCCTGTTGGAGCTCCACTAACATTAGGAGGGAAAGGTAAGATTCACTGATGAGAGGAATGATATCATTTTAACAGGCCCTTAGGCACAAGCTTAGCTGTGCAGGATACCTAGGCTTTTGAACAAAATTCAAGATATTCTTTGTTCTTGCTTCATAGCAATGGTATTTTCACACTTAAATGTCCCTGGTCACTTTACCTACGCTTGCTTTTGTCGCAGCTGACCAAATCCAGCCTAAGTTATATAAACTTGTGGAATTGGTAGTGTGATATAAGCTAAAAATATGCTAGACAGCATTAGAGCTGTATTTTTTCCTAGATATGTCAAACATGTAATTAGGGTTTAGTTACTAACTTTATGACTAAAATTCAGCAGTTGTTTTATGCATAACTTATATAAAGAAGTGTCTCTTACAGAGCTGGAAATGAGGAAGGTGGACTAACAATATTTTGCAATCAAAGTTGCAATTTAAGATAGTCAATAATTAGTATACTCTCCAAATTGGTCCACACACATTCAGAAATCATGGTGAGGAACAGGAAGTAGAAGCTGTTAGGAAAATACTTTGTTTAAATTACTTGTGAATTTGTGGAAATAAGACCTTCAGGTAGTTAAGTGCTGTTGCATCGTGAGTTTATCCCATTACACTGTTGTGTGGGTACATCTTCTAATTAATCACTGTAGTGCAAGCAAGAAATTTTATAGAAATGTATATGTTCGTACTTAGTTTTTGATGACTTTATTTAGAAAGGTATCTCTTGGGATTTATTTTTGCAATGCCCACAGAAGTGTGTTTGTGAGAGAGAAGTGTGAATATTATTGAAAGTGCCATTGCTGGTTCATTTTGTGCTCGTTCTCTTTTTTGGATCTGCCTAGGTCCCCCAGAACAGTTTGGGTCAATGTTCCCTCTAGACTGAGAATTACAGTACTTGGAAATCTTTAGGAAACAATTCCCAGTCATGTACATAATTAAAGGCTTAATAGAGGTGTATTAAGGTCCTTGTGTAGATTGTGATAAGAAACACACAGAGCCTGAGTGGAGCCTCCCTAAAGGCTTGGCTTTGGCTGGCTGCCATTCAGATTGTGTGTGAAGTGAGGTGGACAGGATGGTGACCATTACAATTCTACAAGGAACTGCAAGGACCTGACAGCATGTAACCAGCTCCAGTATCACTGCTGACGTCACTGTGAAGGATGAGAATAATCTCCTTGTGTTGCAGGTGCATAATGTGAGCTTTGGTTGGCTCAGAGTTGTGCAGGAAGTCTGGTATATGGAGGAAACTTCTGTGTAATGCAGTTAGATTGTAAAATGATCCTTCAGCCTGATTGTAAATGTGTAAGACGCAAAGGAAGAACATTATGAGAAAATATCAATATTTAATATCCTGCCTTTAATAGATGGAGAAAATAAAGCATGGATTACTGGGCGACATTACCATGTTCTGCTGAATTGCTGCTGTTGATCTCAGAAAAAAATATGAATATTAAATATTTGTCATTTTTGGAGATGGAGTGCTAAATCCACTACAAGTTCAATTCTAATAATTCAAGCAAGATGGAAGCTGAGGCCTGCTTTAAAATATACAGTTAGTAAAATTCAGGGTTCCCTGGCTTTCATGAGTCTTAGATGTTGGTTGGTCTCTGCAAAGGAGTTGCAGGACAACAGAAAATAAATTAGCCAATGTTTCTTGATGGTCTTTAATTTAAATAATGCTTACACATAGGATATAGCTTTACCCATTAAAAAGAGAAGCTGCTTTTCTTGACAGCTGAAATTATAAAATACCATAATGTTGCAGAGTAGAAAATAGAAAAATGACACAAAGTAATGAATTGCCTTTATTTAAAGTTAGTGTATAATTAATATTATTTTAGAAAGTCAAAAAAGAGAAATGTTTTATATAAATCAAAAATAAGGCATTCAACTCAGCTAATGAGCTTTTGTTGTTTTCTAATCACATAAATCACTGTACATATTATCCCAGTGTATAATGTCAGATTGTACTAACTCTAACATTCATAGCAAAAATTGTCAGAATATCTAGTGTTTTACTAATTTATTGGTGAAATTTACTCACCACATTTAATTATTTCAATCACACAATCCATTGCATGTCAGAGCTTGAAAATGCATTATCAAGTCTTTTAATAGAGTCCATATTTTTGGAGATCTAATTTTTTTATGTTTGTCTCTAAATCAGAAGTTTTTGAATTAATTTAAATTAGCAGAACATTTTAGGTAAAAGCATCTGCTGTAGGCATAGGTCTTAATTTGGCACTATTAATCAAAAAACATTGCATGTATTCTACTTGTATCAGTTCATGACTTACACCTGATGGATACCCTACAGGTTTTTGTCTCACAAGTTGGTGCATTTCATTTTAATCCTACTGTGTGCCCATTAGCAACTATAATGGTGCAATTTGAAATAATTATTTAGAGATTTAATGCTTTGTGTATTATCACAGTTAATTTTTGCTTTCTAGGATAAATACCAAAAACTTTTTCAATACCTTATAAAATCAGAAGAATTTCTTCTTTGTGTGCTCAAAGTATTTGCTGTCTCATATGACATATAGGTAGATTTTCCTTCTTTTGCCTGTACTGGAGTGTAACACTAGCAGGGACCATTTACATTTTTTGTCTAGTACTTTGCTGTGTTGCTTTGGATTTTTGAAAAAAAATCTGTCAATTATTAAAGTTTTAGATTTGTATTAAAGTAGTGTGTCTTTGATGAACCATTGCCATTAAAAACATAGCTGTTGGAATCAAGCAAGGCATATTCCAGGCACTGATGTTTTTCTAAGAATAGAAAGTCAGTACATTTTTGTGGTTGCCTCTGACCATTAATATTGGAGGAAGGTTCTTGGAGAGAATTTCTAGCCAAGCCATGTACAGGTAATCAGACACTGCTCCTTTTCTTGCCACAGGGAGACTCCTGTTTGGGCAGAGGGAAAAATAAAATTATCATTATGAAGGCAAGGGTAGCCCAAGCTTCTCATTAAATACTAAGCAGAGAACATCACTGTTCATATACCACTCTACAAGACTACAAGATTGTTTTAATATCATAAGACCTTAATTTGCAAACCCTTGCTCACCTGATTGTATTGGACATGAACTGCTTGTGATTGTAGCCTTAAACTGGTAAAGAATATTTTTGGGGTCATAAAACTCACACACAGTATAACTTTTTAAAAAGGATAAAAATGCAACACATGCAGTTTTGTACTCGATCAGCCTGTTTTCTGATCTGCAGTTACTGTGAGATGGAAGTTTTAAAATATGGGTCAATTTATTGTAAGCATTACATGACCACCCCTTTTTTTGAGACTGAATTAATAGAAGTGTAGAGGATTATCTGTGTATCACAAGTGCAAGCTAATTTATTGAAGCTGTGTATAAAAATGTGTCTGTAAATGAAAATTGATTCTAGAAAGGGCCTTTTTTTTTGTCATTTTATTGGTGGCCTCTTTTCCTTTGTACAATTGCTTCATCACCAGGAAAGATTCACATTCAGTGCAGTCACAGAGAACCATCAGTCCAGATGCAAGTCCTCCAGAAGGTACTTAAAAGATTACTTTTGAGCTCAGTGAATTAGCACAAGGGTTTCTGTAGCATGAGTTCAGAATCCCATTACACATTATTAGAATCAAAAATCTTGAAACTCACAGGACAATGAGGTTGGCTGCTCTCGAATGCTCTTGTAAGAGTTCATTCAGACGGACTTGGCGGTAGCTCTGATTAAAACACAGCAGGGAAAAGAAAAAGATCTGTTAGATCAGTGATCCTCAGTTCTGGTGTCTTACGGACTTTGACACTCCCCCTTGCCTGCAAGATTTTCTGCTGTTTGGCAGCACTGGAAGCCAGGTCTGCTCTGGGGTCCAGAGTCTCAGCAATGGCAAAATAAGAGGCTGAGCCACACTTTTTGTTTTGTATAGTTACATTAGGGCCACTCTAATGGTTCACCCCTGTCTAAAGTTTCCTAGGGATAGGGATTATTTTTGTACTGAACTTACTTTATGGCCAAGTTCAGGCTCTCAAAAATTTTAAAATTTAACAAGTCACAGGGAACAAGAGACCAGGGCAGGTTTGTGTAAGGTAGATGTATCTTAACTGATTTTGTAAATTATTTTCTCTTTCCCTGGAGAAAGTAAAAAGCAGGTTTTTCTCCATTCAGACCTCAAATTTTCCTCCTCTACAGAAATTTCAGTGTTGTACATGTTATATACATGTTATATAGGTAAGAACCCATATAATTTAGCCAGCTGTTACTTCATGAGAATCATACTATAACATCACCCTTTATCTGTGCTGCCAGGTTTTTCTCTGTTGAATTGTAAATGTGTTCTAATGTCCTCTGTAAAATTCCCAAAACTGCCCTACTTTTGAAGATAAGGGGCATGTCTTTCCAGATGTGTAAACTAAACTATTTGTTGCTCTTCTTGTTTTACAGAGTAATTTGGCATTTTTGTATTGCTGACTCTTTTCAACTTTTGAGGATTTTTCTGGTTCCTTAATTAGTAGCCTAGGCAATACCAAGCTTTATCAGGTATTTTTTTTCTTTTGTATCCTCACTGTTTCTGCACACAAGTGTCTGTGATTGTATTTCCTATTGTCTTTTATACTGAGGTGTTTTATGGGCTCTGACTCTCAATTTTTGATAATTTAAGGTGAGAATAATTCTAAGGTTTTCTGCCCATAGCTAACTACAATAACCTTTTGCTGGTTATCAGCTCCATGAAGAGGGTAATACAGTGAGCAGTCAGTCTGCTTCCCAGCTGCTGCAGTTGGTAGTATAGTGTGTTATCTTAAATCACCATTGATTTCTGCTTATGTTAGTATGTCAGGCTGTGACTTCTGACAGCTCTGAGCTCAGAGTTGCAATCTTTGCTCTGCTGAGGAAGTTATCAGCGCCATAAAGTGGAGATAACTAAAGTCCCAGTGTACTCAGGTTAATTCCACAGGAAGCAACTAAAATTGCTAGATTAATTCTCTGTGAGAATTTGTCTCTTAAGGGTGAAAGAATTTCCATCCTTTTGTCACTGGCCTGATGAAGCCTGGCAGTTCATTGGTAAAAAGGTATTTTTCCAACAAATTTAAGAGCAGACTGATCTGTAATTCACCCAGTGGATCAGCCAGCATCAGCCTTGAACTTCCTCTGAACTGCAGGAGAGCTTCTCCATGGCAGACTGGTTTAGTCTTCACTCTGCCATTCTGGTAAGAATTCATAGTGCCTTTGGAGAAATTTCTTGCCATATTTGAAGTGTCTGGATTCAGTTCTAAATTGCCCAAAGTGGTGAATGTTTGGAACTGCACCTAAGAGATTCAGGCTCCAAAACAGTGGAGCCATTTAATAAACCTCAGCAGACCCAATTAGCTCAGGCTCAGTGCAGAAACTGTGTGGCTTCTGGTTCAGAGGTGGTTTTCATCTGGCTGGCTTTGATGTGGGCAGAGCTTCTCATCAGCCTGGAAAATACTGTGTAAACATACCAAGGTCTGAGAGAGCTCAATAATGTAATCATAACACACCTCTGCAGTGTTTACAATATAAAGCCAATCTGTAAATATCAAATACAGGTTTGTACATGCCATGTTTCTAATGCCATATCTGGTATTTCACTGTTTCTTACTAATCGCTTCAAACATCTGGAGGGTAAGAAAAGGTACATAAGGAAAAAGGTAGGTGAGGCTTTACCTTCTCCTTGAATGCTTCCAGCTCTGCATCTGTAATTTTCCATGGACTCTCTCGCTTTAATTTCTCAGCAGTTGTTATATCTTTGCAGCTTTCATGGAGGCGATATGGTTCAATCATCTCTTCAAAGAATTTCCAGCTGAAACAGGAATTACAAAGGAGGTCTTGCTGCAGGGTATGAACTCACTAACTTACTTCACAGTCACTGTGTATGACAGGCCTCACTGATAATAATTAGAGCTGAAAAACATGCAAAATCTTTAACTATTCTTTGGTACATTGTGCCCCAAGAAGTATGTGTCACTTCTGTATGTTTGGGTTATTTGAGGATAATTAAAAGGTTATTTGAGAATAATTAAACACTGCATTTAGCAGAGAATTTTCTGCATTGTCCTGGTTTTAGTAAAAATACTGAAATGGGTTTTAAAGTAACTTCAAACTGCAGTGTATTGGTTACTAATATTAGCAATGAATATGGGTCTCCTCATGAATACTGAACATTTTTCTATTGTTTCAGCACTAGCTGGACCAATCACCTCACTGATATGGTTTTACTGATGGCTTTAATGCAATGGATAAACAGGTGATACAAATTGCCTGAGACAAGGACCTAAAGGAAACACTGTAGGGTTTTTGCTATATCTGAACTCAGAATTGTGTTCAGATTTTCTCTCTAAATTTCAAGTTGTTCCTTGAACTTTTGAATGTTTTGATCTGGAGAACCTTATTGTCCTTCTGTACTTCCTTGCTTCTCCATTGTTGAAAATTTCTACTATCCCACAGAGAGCTCAGAGAATTCCTTTTGTGTGGATGTGGGTGTATTTCTCCGAGCACTTGGTGCTGACAGGCCCCACTGTGAAGTGGGAGAATGGGCACAGGCTGGCCTTGGCTGTATGGCCAGCAAACCAAGAGATGGGTTAAAGGCCATGATATGCAGCATTTAGTGTTGTTGTTGCTAAGTTATCAGAGTTTGTCAACATTCTTACTGTCTGTTTCAGTATGTAAAATAGTGATAATCCTCTTACTGTTAATGAAATAGATGGGGTGCCAGCTGGAAGAGAGATACAGTGGTCTGTCTAGCAAGTGTCTGGCATAATACTCACTTGTTCAGTTCAGATAGTGCTGATGCAGAAAATGTGTGGTTTTTATATTAATGCCAGATATTAATTATTTTTGATAGATTTTATCTATGTAAAATCTCTGTATTTTACTGGATGAAAAACAAGATATGTGTTGCACAATTTTTTATATGATTAAAGATATTACTTGAGATCCCACTAAAAAGGGGACTTTAGATATCTATAGTTAGAAAATCTTTATATTGTTTAGTTGCACTTCTTCAGTCAAAATGGCCCATAGACACCCTGGTGAATCCTGTATTGTTTTTGCAAAGTTCTGTGTGTAAAAAAATGAGACACAATGATTAAGAGCCTAACCTGGGATTGCACTTGAACTCAGAGGAAAGACTTTGGTTGGAGTAAGGGATGGGATGGAAGAGAGAGGAGTTTTAAGACTAAGAGCAATGCTGTGAATTGAATTTAGAATTCAGTTATTCCCCGAACAGCCTGCTGTATACTTTTGTCTACATTAGCAGAACAAATAGATGATTTCTATGGAGGTATGTTTTAAAAAGCAAGGACTTTAAGTTTTGGCTTGGTTTTTTTTATTTAGCTAACACAGTTGGAGGTGGAGCTTTTTGAGCACTGTTTTACCAACTTCCTAACCTCTGCTTATGAACATTAATTCTGTAGATAAGTTAATTTAAAAAAACGATTAAGCCTTCATTATATCTGAGAGAGGGGAGCATTATAATATTGTCTTCATGGGAGAGAGAAGTATGCTTGTATTTTACCAGAAAAATGTTACGAATTTATTGTAAAACCCAGAAAGCTGAGTTGACGAGATGGCAAGTTTACAGGAGAACTATGACTTACTGGGGTCTATTACAACTTAAATAAATATTAGAAGTCATCATAAAATATCTGTTAAACTTAGTGGCTTGTAAGTATGGTGTCTAATTAGTCTTTACAACATAAAAAGACTACACATGGTTTTGACCCTTTAAGCTGTGATTATTAAAAGATTATTTTCTTTTTCCTGCTCTTGGTACTTATAAAATTATTACAATGAAGGATAGTGTTATTTTTTGTGTTGTGATTTTTTTTTGTTTTGTTTGGTTTTTTTCTTTGTTTTTGTTTTTAATTTTCAACATAAAAGAAATAAGCTCTAGATAAAAGCTGGCTGCTAAATACTGGGTTTTGGCAATGCTTCTTACCTCTCTTTGTTGGGTTTTATATTGATATCACAAATGATATTAATATCAGCAAATTTTATTCTGAATTTGCTTAGGAGTGAAGCCATCCTGAAAACAAAAGAGACAATTTTTTATCACTGTACTTCTGAGTGCCTTATATCAAAGAATATTTGTAAATGAGTAAGACAGCTGCATTTTATATCTTATCTTTAACTATATGACAAATTACTTTAAATGCTTGAGTGTTTCAATTTCCAATTACAGAACTAGATTAATATGATTGCTGTAGCATAATTCATTTAACTGATGATTGATGAAAATAACAAAATAAAAAGAAATTAATAGCAGACAGAGGGCAGGGTATTTACATTTTGGGAAAACAATGGTACTTTAAGTTCCCAAAGGCTTGAGTTAAAAAGGAGGAATATTCAATATGTAGTAGGTCAGAATTCTCCAATACTTACAGAAGCTTCTGTTACTCTGTTACTGTCAGAATGCTGTGGATGGAGTTTTACAATACTGGTAGTGCTTGTGTTGGTGAAAATTTGGTCCAGAGCGTTGATGTCCAATACTTAAAGAATCTTCTTAATCTTTTTAATTTATGAATTTATATTGATCTACTCACACGTTGTTTTTACACATGTTCATAAAAGAATATACTTTGTTTTTTGCCCCAATTGGTAGAAGGAATAGTTTATAGTTCTTTGTGTGTTTGTGCTGGGGATAGGTTTAGTTTAGATTTTTAGTGAGGTTTAATTAGGTCAGTTTTGCCTTTGTTTGAACCATAGCTGGGATCTTGTGGTTCTTCCCCACACTTCCTTTTCCCACCTCCTTTTTTGTTTCTATTTTTGGTATGTAAGCTTTGGATTTTGAAAAGATCAGAGAGTTCCTAGGAGTACACCATGGTAGAAATACGTATTTGTTTATGACCTGAGAGTTTACTCTCTTTTTAAAGTGTATTTATATAAAAAGAACATACTGCTTGTATAAATCTTGGTGTCCCTTGTGGCAATCCCTCTTCTGAGCACGATAAAGAGCAAAATCTCAACTTCTGTGAAAAGGTTTTAATATTTGGGGAATTATATGCCAGTAAAAGTCCAGTTAAATTTGACTTCTGAATTTAAAATGCATGGCTGAAATTGCACTTGGATGATTTTGTATTAGATCTACCTAGGGCATGGAGGAATCACCTAGCCCAGATTTGTCTCTGAAGGCTTTTGCATGTGGCAGGTAGGTCATGTTTGGGTTACGCTGCTGTTTGAGTAGCAATACAGACACTGTTTTCTTGGGGACAAACTGGGTCTTTTCAGCTGTCCTTATCATGCTGTTCGCTCTGGCCTTTGTGGGACAAGCAGTGTATGCAGGTTTCAGAACTGCCTTTGTGGAATCTGTCATGTTTTGACAAATCTCATCTGGTGTCAAAACTTCCTCCTTCCAGCAGAATCAGGTGACTGGAGGGTCTAGGTTCAGGAGCCTGTTTGAATAGCCAAGACTGGGCAGACTCTGGACAGGGAGCAGAGAACACTTCCCAGCAGGTCCTTGAGCAGCTCTAGGGCTTTTTTTACCCAGTTATAAGGTTAGTTTGTATAAACACTTGGGAATCCCTTCTACAGAAGTACATTAACTTTAGGATACTGTTTAAAAGTGATGGAACCACAGTGAAGTTTGCTTCATGTGTTCCTTTTTGCTTTAAGGGAACATCCTGTGGCAGCTGTCTTTCCAAGTCACTGTGTTGTAATCCTAGTGAAGCTGGTGATTCTAACTCCTTGCACCCTTCTCACTTGTTTGCCACTGGAGTTTTGGCTGGAGATGTTGTTTTTAACTCTCTATGTGGTGGTTCTGCTCTTTATTAAGCAATCACTGACTTTCATCCCAAATTGAGCTGCTTCCACTGGTGGTGAAATGGCTGTGCCTATAATGTGTAAAGCGCTTAGGAAGGAAAGGTCCTACTTGCAGTGATGATAAAAATAAGTTTGTATTAGTACCTTTCATTTGCTCAAAGGCAAATGATGATTATGAAATCTAGACTTTCTTTAAAACACGGATTAAAATCAACTTGGCCTTAAAGTTGATTAACTTGCTCTTTAACTTCTTTATATTTTACCACAGTTAATCACAATTATGTGAGCTATCTGTCTATGCTATTTGCATGTGAGACCTTCATGTGCAATTTCACTTTCTGTTGCCTGGACAATCTTATGTAAATCCCATAAAAGTAATTATATTCTCATTACAGAGTGCCGATTGCTCTTCTCAGAGAAGGCAATATGAGCTGTTAATGGGAAAAAGTGCTGGATGTGAGATTCCTCTGGTAATCACCATTTGCACAGCCTTAAGGGCTATGCCATAACCTTAACACCTTTCAATCAAGTACATTTTTTTTCATGCTTCCCACAGTACAACAAACCAGTTGTGCTGAAAAAGCCCAGCTTCCTGCTGTAGATGCATTATATTCAGCACTAATTCAAACTCTTTAAACAAGTGAGACAAAGTTATATTTACACTAGTTTTTCTTCTTCAATCCTATTGACTTTTCCTCCAGTGAAGATTCTTAATTTACAGTTCTTCCACTTCTTCCTGATAGTTAGAATGTAAGGAATTAGGATTGTTAGACCTGGAAGAACACAGAAAATTGGAGGAATATCAAATTAATGCATTGTATGGTAAAAATTCCATCTTTCACTTCAGCAGTGTTGGATGCAAGTTAATTTTAAATTATTTAAGCCTGACATAAAATTGATAATGTAAGTTTAATAAAAACCAGCTTTATGCAACTTCCCAAGTCTGTTTTTATATTTGGTAATAGAGAAATCTCTCCCCCTATGATTTTACTCAAATTCCTTACCTCCATCATCGAACAGCCACCAAATGTCAATTGTACCTTTTCCTTGCTTCTTTCTAAATTGAGTGCTGGCTTCTAGCAGCCTCTGATTGAATTCACCCACATGCATTGACTGTATGGTGTTAATGGTGCTCTCTGTAATGAGAAGAAAAAAAGTGGAAGGGTGTCAGATAAGTGAGGCAATAAGTAGCTTTAGGGAGCCAAATGTAGGGAAAGCTTCAGGAAAATGACCTGTTTCTGACATAATTTCTATCTTTTTAATCTGAAAAAAAAAAAAAGGTACAGAGTAGATGCTTTGTACTTTTAATTTTCTCATATACACAGAAACCAAAGCTTGTGTAACACCTTGTCACTAGATTATAACATTTTGGAAAAGGTTACCTGATTATTTGTTCTCTGTCTCTTTTTAGTTAATTCACTGGGGCCTTAAAAAGCAACTGGGAAATATCTGATCGATTTTAGAAGTGAATGTGTCATTTTGCATCATTCACAAGCTCAGCTGTCTTTTAAAATACAGAGCTCCCTGAAAAGCACAGTCACAGTGGATGAAATGAGCTGATGGGGTGCAGGGGTAGCATAGGTGAAGCTGGAAGTTAGAAAACACGAGCACATATGGGTGCTTCCCTATGCTGATATGGCCACTGCTAATTGGAAATAAATTTTTATTCTTGCTTTTTGCTTGGCTGGCTTTAAAAGACAGAGTCTTGACTCTGTACTAACAATACCTTCTCTCATTCTACCTTTTGAGGCCTGTGGCTTTATTACTGCTTCTCTTTCAATGATTTCAAAGCGATGGTATAACAGCAGTATTCTAAGTGGAACAAACAGGCTTCTTTAGAGGTTTTACTCTGATCTTCTAGGTTCTGAAAATGCTTTGTTTGGTTTTCCTGTGTTTCTGGAGTGTGTAAAGGATAGTTCCAAAGCAGTTATTTGCTTTCTTCTACAGTTCTAGCATCTCTGCTGGAAGATGGAACAACTCTGGGGAATATGAACATAAAAACAGAGAGGTGGGGCTATTTAGTAACATAATCTATCTAATACAGAGACCTAAAATGTGTAATATGTATTTACTTTATGCATTTCTCAACTAAATCAAAAAGGGAAATTGAAACAGGGGTACACACTCTTGGTGGAGTTGTCGTAAAAATATGTTCTACTGAAACAAAATCAACTGAAGCCTGCCAGCTGAAGAATAATGGCATTTTATGTTCCCAGTCTGTAGATCTTCCTGGCACCTGTGGGAGTTGCATGCACAGCCAGATGTAATAGTCTCTGCAGGTGAAAACTCTCAAAATACATGTCTGTGTACAAGCATGGCTTCAGGTGGGTCATTATCATTACAGCCTAGCAGTTGTGAAATGAGACCTTAAATTGTGTCTGTATCATTTTACTATATCTGAAATGTAATATTGACTTCATCACCTACACATTTAAGTTATGTGTTAATTAGTTATTTGACAGTATGCTGTGTATGTGCTTTCAGTACTATTTTACTAGCTTCACTTGTGTATTTTTATGAAATTATGCTTAGAATATAAAGCAGTTGTGCTATTTTAACCTCTTTTTCAGCTGTGTACTGAGTTTGTGTGTGTGTCTATTACTTGAAGTAAGATTGCTTGCTCCCTGCATATTGTGCATATGTTCCTATTTTCTTTAGAGAGGAGGAAAAAAAGGCCTCTGTTTAAAAGCTTAGAACACCCTATTAAAAAGGAAAAAACAACCCAAAACCCCCCAGCCATCTTGTTCTGTATTCCTCAAACCTTAATAACCATTTAATAACTATTTTTGGCAAGTAGAAGTGAACATAAGCTGAGCTGAGAGGTTTATCTAGCAAATGAGGGGGAATGGTTGTGTTGCAGACATCGTGTTCTATGAGCAGAGGATGTCACTGTGCTGCATTACAGGGTTGTGGCCACAGGTTTGCACAAGAGACGTTCTGTTCCAGGGGCTTCTGTGTAGCTCAGGAGTTTTTGGCTTGGAGTAAAGTCCAGTTTGCGTACTGGTGAAAGTGTGATGCATTGAAAGGTTGGAAATATGTTGTCATTTTGGAACTTACCCTTCTTTGTTTCGTGTTTTGAGATATTCAATGTGCTGGCTTTTTTGAAGAATCCACAGATGCCCCTTTTCCCTTCTTCAAAATCATTTTCTTTAATGGTGGCTTCCAGTGCCAATCTCTCCTGCTCCAGCTTCTCTAATTCCTCTGTATATTAGAAAGAGAACTGGTAACACATTGCTTCTTTTAAATTAAATCCCTCACTGAACTAATGGTGATGATGTAATTTCTGTTGTAGTGCTTTGTACACAGTGTAAAGCTCCTGGTATGAATAATTCTTTTAAAATGCTTTTTCTTTGCAAACCAGTAGGGAGAAGGAAGCTGAGTTAACCTCTGGAAGCCCTAGCTTGGGGTGCCTGTGCCTACAGCACTGTGGTGTGCCAGCTGCTCTCAGGTGGTCTCTTCCAAATCAAATTCGGTATTATGACATTTTATAGTTACATAAGATATTATTTGTTATCTTTGTGGATATTTAGTTGGTTTCTTTAGCCAAGAATTTGAAAGGACTTTAGGAAAGCTGTTTTCCTACACTGAGGAAACTGAGGTATTTAGTTGTAGCCTGTGGATCTCTTTTCTTAGAACAAAGTCTCATAGTTTGTACTTTGAGATTCTCAGAAATATATAAGGATCCTGAATATACAATCATTCTCCATGCAGAAATATTTTTCATGTTTTAATTTTTTGAGCATTAGCTGCAAAGATGTAAGATTTAGCTAATCCATTCTGTAAACTTAGTAATACAGAAAACAATTTCATCTTAGCAATATTAGGCTTTTGCTGAGGAAAACATACCATGTGTTACTGTGGAATATATTATGGTGAAGCACTAATTAATATGATACAGGCACTTGCCTGCAGAAAACTTTTTTCATAAGGAAATCTTATATTTACTAAATATGAGGTAAGTTCATTTAAGATGTTGTATTAAAAAAGTAGAATAAACCCTCACTAGCTAGACATTATTAGCTCTGTTTGCAGTCTCAGTTGCCAACAGAAAGATTATATTTTCTTTTACTTTTTAATCAATGACAGTCACATATTCCTGATTATTAGACAGGGTGATAGCCACAAACTTAATGGTTACTCAAAACTAAAATTTCAGTTTTTCTGTTGAACAGAATGCTGTACCAAATATAAGAGAACACAATGATCATTATTTTCCACTACAATGACTGTATCTGCTACAAAATATTTCTTTGTATTTGAGGCTCCCCCCCTTAATTCTTTCTGAATCCTTGTGTCTTAACACTTGGAAAACATTTGCTCATTTGTAAGATTGCAGAGTTGTTTTTCACTGTATTTTTACAGTGTTGCAGTGACTGTATATTTTGGGCACTCAGTTTCTGACTCGCATCAAGCAGAGATAGGCAGATATCTCTCAGAAATCACCAGGGGGAAAAGAAAAGCTTGATTATTTTGGAATCTTTTCTGACTCCCTGTAGTTTTGTCCCGTGGGTCTCTAGGCACATCAAGCTGCCAGTGCTGAGCTAGTGTTCATCCACCCTTGTTCCTTAAAGGAGTCTCTGGCGCCTTTTGATTTGCGGGTTCCTTGTTTCTGGGGGTCTCCTGCTGCCCCCGACCCCGCGGTGCCGGCGCTAGCGGGGCGGGAGCTGGCGGCAGCGCGGCCGGCGGGCAGCAGGCGGCAGCAGAGAGCCGCGGGCCCGGCCTGGCCGCGCCGGGGGCAAACCGCGGCCGGGGGCAGAACTGTCCTGCCCAAAATCTAGGGAATTGTCCCGCCTTTGCCACCCAAATGGCTGTGGGATGGCGGAAGGTTCACCCTTTCCCCCCTGAGATATGCGCTGCTGGCCTAAGGAAGAATGAACAAAAAAGGGAGAGAGAGAGCTGATGTTTCCTGCCGGTTTCAGATTTTTCTATGGGTGGGAACTCTGTGGGACTCAAGAGTTTCACAGAGATGGTACCAAAAATGCAGCTTCCCATTTCCTGTCTGTCCCAGAGATATCAGGCAGGCAGATAGAGGAAGGTGTGCTGAAACCAGGAAGGAAAAATGCAGCAGAGTAACTGGTTGCTGTGGCACGATAAGATTTTATTACTTTAGTCTGTGCCTGTGCTGGAGCTGCTTTGGGAGTTGAGTTCTCTGGTGTGCAGAGCTCCATAATGTGTGAGGCTTGGACTCTTTCTGTCACTGCCAGTGATCAGCAAGGATTTTAGGCAGGATTTAAACTGCACAAGCTAGGACGAACTGTGGAAGTTGTGAGTATAGGAACTATTCTAGAAAGCAGATGGTGACTCTTGCGAGTGTCAAGAGTCCTTATTGCTGTGCATCTAACCAGCAGAGATATTCAGCTGTCGAGTCACTACATACCTTGAACCTGAAGGACCTGAGATATATCAAATCCTTGGCTAATTCTGATGATAATTACACCGAGCTCAAAATCAAAGGCATCACTGGAAAGAAAGAAAAAGAAGAGTAAACATAATTTTACATTGTGCTTGATGATGTTTTGAAAAGATCAGTGAAAGTGTTCACAGGGAGGACAGTCTAGGTAAAATCGCAGAAGGAACTGCCCCACATAAATTTGTAGTACTTAATTAATCTTTCCTTATTTAAAAAAATAGGTTTGACTGGGCATGGGAACAGATCAACTATTCCTGAAGCCTTTCAGACAATGCATTTTTAGGAACTAGGTTGCCATAGGATAATTTTTTCTCCCTTCTCTGAGGAAATAACAAAGCCAAGGTGGGGTTTGTTGCTCTGTAACTTGCTTCAGCTTCACAGGTGAATTTTCAGCAAGCATCTATGAGAAGCCTGTTCTAAAATGACTGTTTCCTAGCTAAATCCCAACCCACAGAGCTGCTGAGCCTTAGGGACACATGAGATTTGAACCAAAGCTCTTCCTGTCTCCTAGGCTTAAAAGAAGAATTCCATGATGTTCTCTTATTCCCTTAGTATGTACATTAGGGTTGTTTTTCTCTGAGTTCCTGCCTGCCAAAAATGGGAAAATACAGTTCTGCAAAAGCGCTGCCGACAGCAGAGCAGCTTCTTCAGCATTGTCAAGCCACCTCAGCTCTGATGGTGCCAGGTGTTTGCTAAGCAGATCCTATGAGGTGTGGGAAGCCAATGAGCCTTTTTTGATGGGCAATAACTTCAGCCACAGAGGTGAGACGTATGAGCCCAGGTTTGTATGTATGTCCTTGCATTGTTTCTACACATCAAATTCTGTATGGAAATGCTACATTAATCTAGTGTAAGAGGAGTGAAAAAGGAGGTACTGAGCTGACTTACTGTATAATGCCTACATAGTTCTCAACTTGAGTGGCAGGTGCACTTCTCCAGTCCTTCTTAAATCCAATCACCAGGGTATTTGGTTTCATTCTACCCAAGCCTGAGGCCTGCCAATATTAAAACACTGCTTGAGAGAGGTACACATACATGCTCTTACTGTAAATGAAAACGTAATGAAAATGTAAATGTAAATGAAAAGTAATGGCAAAAGATAATTACTTCTGAAGTAATCAGAAGTAATACTGAAGTAATCCAGAACTAAGTTCTGGAGACACAACTAGACTGCATTTCATAAATGCCCTTCATGCTCATATCCGTGCAGAAAGCAGAAAGATTAGCTTTAAATCATTCCAACTATAAATTATTTTAGATGACAGAAGTGTAGTTTTTCTAAATTAGCATTCATTTGCATTTCTTCTGACATGCTCTCATTAAAATGGTTCAATAACTTGGAATCAAGAGAGAGTTCAAGAGCTGTTTGTATGCTCATTCTAACATAATGGCATAAAGCTTTTATCAGCTTCAGAATACACAGTAGATGAAGTGGGTCTGAAGTCTCTTTAAGCCTCTCAGATATACAGAGAAGTTATAGGCTCCTAAGAATATTATTTTTGCCTTGAATTTGGAAACTCTTGTTTCATTTGCTGTGTTCTTTTCAAAAGATTATCCAAAATCAGCTGAGCATGCTTTTTAGATAAAATTATGGTTTCTAAACAGGAAAAAGACATGGTTTGTAAAGATATTAGTTTGCCTTCAAAACTGGTTCTGGATGCTAAAACCTGGACAAGTAAGGGAAGTCAGACCTAGATTCAGCTAACCTGGTGTTTATAGAAATATAAATATTCAGTGAATTAGGAATACTCCTTTAAGAGACAGCACACAAAACACCAGTGTGTAAAGCTGCTACACCTGCCAACTTTTTACTACTAGCAAACAGAAAATAGGAAAAAATTGTTGGAACCTTGGTGGGTTTTTGAGTAGCACTGTTTATGTTGAAATCAGTAATTGCTACCAATGTCTTTAGGTTGGAATAGTGATGATGTGGTTATCCTTCTGTTTGCTGAAGAGAATTATTTGGGGTCCAGTAGTTGACTTTGGCAATAGTGCTTAAGTAGTAATGGAAAGGAAGAGATCATCAGACCATAGCAGTTCTCAAAAACATCAGAAAGATCTCCTACTGAGACAATGTATAAGCCCAAGATGAAGTGTCTTTGTGAGGCTTTTCCAGAACAAAGGGATCTTTATTAATAGCATTTCATCTTGCTCAGTTGTACTGTCCATTCAGCAAGTGTACAAAGAACCCTGGTAGGACATCAGTGGGTGACTTACCCAGAGTATTTTAGTTGATTCCCTACTGTCTCAGCTGGCACAGATGTCTTTTCAACAGTGTATCTCGCGAAAAGGATATGAATTTGCTCTACATTTTGCCTCAGTACCCATATGTTTAAATATTCATATATGTGAGAGAGGAAAGGAGATGGGAAAAATGACAGTGTCTCTGTGCCTTCATTATGGCCATTTTAAATGGACTGTTGGAAATTATCTCCTGCATTCTTAGAGTAATAGAAAAATATTGCAGACTTTTATTTAAATGACCTTCTTGCTATTTGCAGAAAATGTATATTATACATTTTCAGTTTTCATTTATTGCCAAAACATTCTCAGATATTTAATATGCTATATAATACCAAACAATAAAATTGATTTGAAGTGTATCAAGTGTCAGCTGCATAGACATTCATATGTGGCCCTGTAGATGCTTCTCCTTTTTCATAATAGTGTCTTATTCCTTTAGGACAGAATCAGTGTGCCTTGTCTCCATAATTGCATATGAACTAGATAGCCCAGAACTAGATCTTTATGAAATAATCTGTAATATAATATACACGTACCCCCAGAAAGCCCTTTCTGTCTATAACATTACCCATATATATGCAGAGCTTCTTCACAAGCTAATAGTAATGTCTCACATAAAGGGATGCTTTGATGTACACTCTCCTGTGTGTTCTGTAAACAAAAAGCTTACTTGAAGTAGACTTTTGACTCCATCTCTGAAGCTGTCAGCTGCCACTGCTGCATAAAAGGCTTTTCTTTTGTTCGTTGTGAGCCAGGCCTGCTTTTTTTCCATGCCACTGTTCATCTCCTTAACACACAGCTTGCGTGGTCCCTGCATGATACAGTAAAATATTATTACAAAGGCTTTGTATTGTACATCACACAGTGATTTTGAAGGAGTTACCTAGTCTGCTGTGGGAGCAAATGGAGAGAGTCAGAAAAATACCTTTCCAAAGAGGGTCCACAGAGATTCAGCCCTTTGAAAAGAACTGTGCTGCAAACATAATTCACATTCTGTTTGAGAGGGCTGAGGCTGTTAATGCTACTTAAATGCAGTCATTCTGACAGAAAAAAAGGACTTTTATGGATTGTGACATCTTAAAAAAACATCTAAGGTATGATAAAGCATCTCAGAGTGAATAAAGTCCCTCCCTGACTTGAATATGTAAAAGAGTCTCAGCAGATCTAAATATACATGGTTAAGTTCCTGTCTACTGACAAAGTAGAAAAAGAGAAAAGAGTTGATGCAATGGAATTAAAGATGCAAATGCCTTTGTTACCAGTTTTCTTTCAGTGGTCATCAAATAATGTAATGGAAAAAAATCCATGTCCATATCCAAGTCACAAGACATCAATGTAACTTAAGAAGAATTTGATCCTGGATGTATGAATAGCTGGGAATAATAACTTGAACAATAAGCTTGAAGTTTCATTGTGAGTAAGGAGAGGAAATGAACAAGTTTTGCCCGTCTTCTCTGTCTCTCAAAGGAAAGCACCTGAAGGTGGTTTTGCAACTGGCTTGCACAGTGCAGGTCAGACCCACACCTCTCCCAGGTGCCACGCTGTCTGTGTCCTCCCCTGATCCTCCTTTGCACCCGTGGAAATGTTTGTGCAGTTGTACAAGTGAATTTGCAGACAGAACTAACCCTGAAAAAGCCCTTACATGAAGGGAAGGAGTAAAAGCAGATATAGTCCCTTTTACTGGAAACTCTGACTGTTCAAGCCAACAGCCATTACCTCAGAGACGAGTAAACTTGAAATCATCTCTATGTTCTGTTGAGATCTTTGTTTTGTCTATTTCTGAGCCATGTATCACCATGTTCCTGTAAAGTTTCTTGCTGTCTCTTGGAAGAAAAGAATGGAAGATGTTCTCTCTGGTGTGGTGTTTCAAAACTTTATGCATCACTAACAGCGTGTCAGCTTTTGAGGCAGAATGTACTGGGTGTTACATTTATGGCTGAATAGTCTTGCTGTATTTGTTGTGATATATATTGCAGGCTGCTCTTCAATATGATTGCTAGGAATTTTATCATCCACTTTTCACCACAATTTTGCAATTCATAAAGGTTCATTTTGTCACACTTTTATTACCAAGGAAATTAAATTTCAGTTAAGTTGCTGAAGAAATAATTAGAAAGCCCCCCTAAACAATTCAAAGCTTATATAACAAAATAGTCTTTGGGGTTTTTTTGTAAAGAATGACATCTCAGTTCTCCACAGAAAGTACTAATATTAGAGAAACATGCCTAAGAATTCAGAAAAATTGCTTAAACTCAACTTCAGGAAGCTGCATAGTCTCAGGATCCTGTTGGGATTGGTTCTATGCTTCCTGAATGCAGTGGGAAATCTAACAATAATTATAGTAGGAAGGAATTAGGATCATTCTTTCTTTACAGATTCATTTGATTTGGGAAGAAACACATGTGGATCTTTCATACTCTGTTTCTGCAGAAATGTGGCAGTATCAAATGAAGGATACCTACATTGCTGTAGAGGAATACATTATCTTGGCTGGACTGACTCTATTATCTAGATTCTGCTGCCCCATTTAGTGCCATGAGCTGTTTTTTGGGTTTTTTCTCTCTCAAAATTAAAAGGGCACTGTAATATTTAAAATATTTTTAAACATTACATTTTTTCTCTACACTACAAACCCATTTTTATTCTGTCCTGATGAGAGACTAGATCTTCATCCTCTAAGATACATCATTTGCTGTGTATTTATATCTAGAAATACACTTTGCTTCTCTCTTTAGATCTCAGAAGAGCATGTTTATCCTCAAAATTAGCATTGTAACAGTTTTGGAGGAACCTCTGCAAAGAGAGCTGATTTACTTGCCAAACCCCAACTCTGCAAATCAGAGACAAAGCTGAAAATAGAACCTGGGTAATTTGATTCTCACACTATAACCCTTCAAATTTTGTGTTTTGTGTGGTTAGGGGATTTTCTTCTTTTCTAAACTTAAAATCTTTCCTTGTAATATTTTTTTTCCTCCAAACAATTTTTTGGTTCACCTACTATGGACTTTGAAATGCATCTCAGTGAGGCATTTACCAGCAGGCTTTGTATCAGCTGATAGCTTTCGTGTCAAGAATTATGATGAAATTCATTCTCAGTGCAAACCTCTTTGGTGGTGTGAACAGCTGCCAATCAGCACCAGTGAGAACACCATGTGCTGAGTGAGAGTGGAATTGTAACAGAGACCTGCAGCCCCCACTTGTGCTGGGTGTGCAGATTTGGGTGAGTTCCCTTACCATGTACACTTCACAGCAGATACACAGCCCGTTGTTCTTTGTGAAGCTGTGGGTGATGTCTAGCAGAGCAGGCCTGACCATAGGAGCTCCTGTTAATGCTAGGCATTGTGGTCTGGTGGAGAAAAAAGAGGTTGTATATAATTGGCTGATGTACAGATTCAGGACAAGCCATTGTATTGTTTACTGGAAATCTTACCTGAAGTTTTTCACGTGGTCTTCCACTGTTGTTAATGCCAGAGCGCTGTCTAAGGCATTAACAAAGTAAAGAGCCTGAGTAGAGGAGCCCCAGTTTACTTCTGCATATGATAAAGATAAATAATGCATATTAAACCATGGGCTTTTCTTTACATTCTGTTGCAAAAATCAGCAATGGTCTTCTCTATGAAAAGCAGAGTATATTCTCTCATAGTTCATAGATACAGACTTGTTCTTTGTGCTTCATAATAGAATGACTTAGTTTTGCTTGTGTGATGCAGAAAACCCCATGCAAATAAATAGTTTCATTCTTTATTTAAATACTGTAGGGAATGTTCCTCCCCTATTTAAAAATTATTTTCTAATTTGTTCCATTAACTTTGTGTCCTTCACCTCTTTAGAAAATGGACAGCCCTGAGTCATGTATGTGATGTGGAATTTCAGGAAGTGCAAATGAAACCAGTAGGTTGTGAGTGCCAGTTTGCTCTGTTCTACTGTATAGGCCAAAAATTGTTCTCCAAGCCCCATTTTGGCATATACATATTTTCTCATTATTGTGCAGCTGTTTGGTCAGTGGAGACATATAAGAAATGTCTTGCTACACTTTGAGATCTACAGGAATGTAGATCAAGTCCTGTTATGCCAAGATACAAAACTAATATTAAGTGCAGCTAAGTGGAGTTTTAGTGTAAAGTCACCTTTTCTAAGGAATATTAGTTTTCTCTGAACCCTTCAGTTGCTGGCAAATTACTGCTGAAGTCACCCTCTTAGCAGGAGACAGGGCTTTTGTACAGTGGCTTCAGTGAATTTAACCAAGCTTTAAGGTGCTACTTTGCATCAGGGACACTGGCAATTTCCAAGGAAAGGGTAGAAATCCTGTCATGTTTTTAACTACTGGTTGAGATGGGTCTGCTTTCCTGCAGCTGATGATATATTTACAGGGAGAGAAGCACGGACCATCCCAGTGGGTGTGAGAGGGCACAGATAGGGAGGACAGACAACAGCAACAGCAACAGTAACAGTCTCACACCAGGTGTTGCTGTCCCAAGTTAACTCCAATAAAAGCACATCCATTGCTGGGAACCATGCTGCTTTTATTTGTTGGTTTTGTTTTGTTTTCTGCTGCAGAAGTAATTCAAGTGATTAGCACTGAAATCTGGACCTAGGTTAGTTTTGTCCTGGATATGAATAGCCAGACTGTCTAGTCTTGTACAGCACACAGGTTTTTAAGGACAGCTCCTGTGATTTGCTGAGCTACTAAGTATTTTTTTCCAGCAGTAAAAGTGGGCCCATCTGTCTTGATTTACAGGGGAGTTGTAGGGAGGTGCTGGAGGATGATCACTTCATAAGTAATTCAGCTTGCATTTTTATTGTATAATGGGCGGCAGGTTTACATTTTGAGTGAGGACTCTGCATGAGTCAGCTGAGAGCACTGCAAAATTCAGGTGAGGTTTTGTGCATGGGTGGAAAAAAATTAGGAGTGATACTCAAGTAAAAGCCCAAATGTCATAAAGATGTGGTGGGAATAAACCAGTCTGCTGGAATGTTTACAGAAAACCCTGAACCACACTTGAACTGCTTGTTAAACAGACAGTCACCAGACTATCAACTTCATCTGTATTATATAAAGTGGAATTTAACAGGATGCTTCAGACTTCCCTCTAAATAGAGACAGCACAAAAAAATTATTTCTAATTTTGTTAGCAGAATTAATTTCTTTAAAATCCAGTCTAGCAGCAAAACATATGCATGTAATAACAGTGGGGTTTGGCCTTACCTGGCTTCTTATATGTTACATAAATATATAGGAAGAGCTCAATGGCATAAGTGATGAGAGCTGCCCACCAGTTGATGACAAACATCACCCCGCAGCACAGCAGGGCTCCAAAAAGTGACACCCACATGTTATAATATCTGAATGCAGGTCTCCAACCTGTTTAAAGAGAATTGGGGAAATTGGAAGAGCATGAAATATATTGATATCATGGTAATCCATGATTATTGTGCATAAAATCCCATGCACAGTTTGTTACAGGCTCTGTCACAAGGGGTAGGAGACATATCTGTAAATTCTTAGGCACCATGTGTACAGATACTTTCAGGTGCTGGCTGATGTAGCTTTCAGTTTATAGAATACTGAGTTTTACAGGCCTTCTGCTGCTCTCTTTCCTACTGCTTTGTTCAGGCTGGCTTTGAGTAGCTATTCTGTTTATATGTAATTTTGCAAAATTAAAGTTTACTGGTTCAGAATATTTCAGAACATCAGAAGGTTTACCTGTAACTCCAGATAATTGATGACTGTGTATTTTTGATGCATATAAACAGAACTCTCTATTGATAGCTAAACACTTCCTGAGAGGAGTGTTTATCCCGACACTGTAAGTGCACCTGTCTTAAACTTGGAAATTGCCTAGTCTTGTGGCAGAAAAATAAAATCATCTGCAATTGACTTTAAAAGGATATTATTCCTGCTGCTCTTCAGCTGCACTACGGATTCCATCCCCTGCTACCAATTAAAATGATGAGGCAAGCACTGAGCCTTCATGGTTTGCAGATCTCTGCCAGGTGTTCTACAGAGCAGATTTTGGAGAGGGGAAAAACACAGAAGATACAAGAGGCTGAGCAACCCTATCTTGGATCATCTTTATAATGAGGGAATGGGAAGGACCTGCTGGGAAGAAATTGTCTGTCCTGCAGCCTTGCAATTATTATAATCTATCATTGTGAATTGGCAAAAATTAACTGGAGGAAATGAGAAAAGAAAAATGGCTGAAGTTCTGACTGAAATGTTAAATAGTGGCAGAGTAGAGTCAGATGTACGGAGATGAAATCTATAGAGGTAATTGTCACTCAGCTCCAAGGCCATATGGAGCAGATCTGCATTTGTTCAGATCTGCAGGTAATTAGCAGAAGTGCTCATCTTTTCTTCCCTCTAAACAAATGGCACTGTGCAGATCTATAGGAAGGAAGCTGATGCAGGCATTTCTGTCAGTATTGCAGTTTCTTCACACTGGAAATCAAAAATGTATTCCTTGCTCCTTGAGTTGAATAATTAATTCATAGAAGCAGGAAATTGTGTGCTAAATTGTGTGAACCAGTGTTGCTCAGCTGATTGACTTTATTCCTGAAGGTGTCACCCCTTCATGAGATGGTGAGAATCATTCTGCTGTGGCAATGCACAAGTCTGACAGCCAGAATGTTCCTTTGCTGCAAATGTAGAGGGAGGATCTCAAGTTACCCCTGAACAGGACCTCATAGTGCTTCACAACTGTGCTTTACAATTCTGCTTCCAGGCACACAGCAGAGTTGTGCTGGTGCTGTTTGATGGACCTTCTCTTGCTCTACTTGTTCCCCTCCAGGCAGCATCACTTGTAGCACTGTTACTGTGCTTAGGAATCTCCCCGTACATTTCGCTGTAGGTTTGGAGAAGGGAGTGATGACTCCCCACTATACCTTGCTTGCTTCATTGGCCAGAGTTGGCATAAGCTTTTACCCACATGTTTTTTAATAGTGAGGGGGAAAAATACCAGCTTAAGGAAAATTGTTTTTTTCTCCAGTGGGATGCACCAAAGCCTTTCTCATCCTGTACAACTGTAGGCATTGTAAGGACTAGAGCTGTTATTTTTATTGTTTGGAGTTAAATAAAATGCCATCACATTCAATAAGACATCAGCTCACATAACTTAGATACTCTACATATACTGCAATTTTCTCAGACATAGTCTAAAGCTTCCAGAGATCAGACTGTAAAGCCCGTATTTAAATCACTGCTGAATGCAGACTCACCTGGAGATTTTGCATATGAGGCATGAAAGCAGGAGAAATTAATCAAAGCATATGAAGCCAGGAAGAAATTGGAGATGATGGGAGCAATGGTATTCAGTTCAGCTGCAAGACACATACACAAGTCATACAGAGGCACCAGTTTCCTGGACTGTTGGCTAGCTGTTTCCTGATGATGCATTAGATCTGAACATCGTCTGCATTTATCATCCATGGAGAGTTTGGGTATTTTCCTGCCTTACTAAGGCCACCTTGATCTACCTTCATCCATATGAATTATGCCTGCTAATCCTGATTTTAATAACATTATGTGCTATGCAGTGTTATACTTGATACTGTGATTCAGCATAGTGTATCTTAATTATGTAGATCTGATGTAAAGTTCAGAATTTTAAATACATAATTGACAGGATGGATGCATTAAAAAAAAATTTGTACTTAGTTGCAACTTAGTGGGAATCTGAACTCTCTACTAGACGTCCTATTTATTAGTGTAAGACAGGTTGAATTTCTAATCTTGGAAAAACTGATTTAACAGTCCCTGCACTCCTAAATGTGGTACCTGGGATTTTCTTTCACTATTGCTGGTAAACTTGGATTTGCTTTGGAGCTGATGGTGGGAAAGACTTGGGCAGAATAGGCTTCCTAATTATCTCCAAATTACCTCAGAGTTATGTGCAATATAAACTGGAAAACCATTTTCAAAGATTGTGACTTATCTGATAGAGTTCTAAACACTGCCCTCTTCCAGCAGAGTGAACAGGAATTGGAGCTACTCCACATCTTGGAAAATGAGGTGGTGGTGGTGGTGGTAAGTCACTGGAATCACTGCTGGTTTCTTTTTGCCTTCATTAGGAATAATGGAGTTGCTACCAGGACTTGGAGTATGCTTATGTCAGAGCTTACCCAACTGGAAATTTTTCAAACCGCAGCTCCTAATTGTATTATAGTATCAGTTTGTATAATTTCAGAACATGACACTATAGTAGCTGTGTAACATTATACAAACCAATCAAAATGAATGCCATGGCAATCACGAAAGTGAGGACATATCCCCTGATAGGCTCGTTATTTTTTCCGTATCCTTTGGCAAAGAATTCTAGCCCTTTGTAGACGTTGTCCTTGCAAAGAGCCTGGTAAGAAAATCAGCACATAATTCTATTAAGCAGCACTTTCTTGTACCAGAAGTCACTGTCTGTGAGTGGCAGCTTGCTAGGCTTTTGCTAAACAAAAGTCTGTCTTTAGTGCTTCAAGTACATCAACTGCTGTGGAAACATTTAAATAAGGTGATAACACAATATGCTACTATGTTATTATGTCATGGGAAATGAAATTACAGACATTTAATACTTATTCAGTGCTTTAAAATAAAAAGGTAATTAAATAGCTAAATAGAATCTAGATTGGGAGAAGTTGAAGCATAAATCAGTGGCTTGATGTAATTTGTACAGGTTATCTCTCCCATGCCTTCTGCTCCCAGTCTGTCCACACTGCTGCTGCCCAGACAGCTTCTGGACAGCCTCTTAAGAGCACACCTGCCAGCACCTGAATCTTACAGACCTGAGGGTTCCTGCTGCTCTTGTGCTTACAGGGTGGCTTTTTGTAAGATAGAAGTGATCCTGAAAGTACCCTTGAAGCTATTTATGACAGGCACATGAGTATCCCCTTCTCCTGCAGGAGCAAAGCTGAGCTCTGACCAAAGGAACATTATCACCCTTTTGTGATGATAAGACCTGTCTTTCTCTGCTGAAAAACATTCTACATATTGTTTACTCTGTCTCTTCCTGCCACGTGTCAGTGTTGCTTAAATATACATTACATTTGGCACACAGAGTTCAACTTTGTCTCTGGAGTAAAACCAAGTATAAGGAAATGGATAGTTTAATTTTACCTGGAAAACTTTGGGTGCGCTGACAAGAGATGCTAGAGCTGATGACAGAGTAGCTGAGAAGATGCCAGCTGTGATGAGAGGACCAAAGCCAGACACCATGCTCATCACCTGTAGGAAAAAAATGAAGGTAAAAAGAATAGGCTTGCATTTGGATGCACTTTTTAATGACAAACCCATTTTAGTGCTCTATGTCTCTCTGCTTTTCATGGTTCTAAATTTAATCTGCTACAAACAGTACTATTATTTCTGATTTAGTTAAAAGGAATGGAGGCAAAGCCAAATTTTTATTCAAATATGCAGCTGTCTGCTGGGGCAGATGAGTACTCTGTGAGATTTCCTCACTGCCTTTGCTAACTGATTGCTATATGTAAAAACCTCTACTTGATGAGTAAATAGTCAGCTTATGGACAAGAAAATGGAAATGGCAGCAAAAAGCACTGATGTATTAAATGTGGTTGGAGGCACTTTATTTTCTTTGTTTGTTTTTTTCCCCTTGATTATTTAATATGGCTAAAAATGAGAGAAAATGCCTGGTGATGCTGACGTAACTGCAGTGCTGCAAGCAGTGATGATGGTCACTGTCAGGCCTCCCTCAGCCCTCCCAGGAGCGCTGGACTGGCCTCTGTGACCACTGAAGTGAAAGGGTTGTTGAGAAGCACCAGACAAGGAGACTAAAAGATGGATGGATGTGATTGGTGGTGTGTGGGCAGTACTTCAGGAAAGAAACCAGTGAATCCTGAAGATTTGTCAGATGCAGTCATACTGTTTTCTAGCTCTAGCCTGGCAGGGGTAAATGCAAGAAGTGAAAGTTTGTCTGGCTGTAGGGAGGTCATGATTTTAAGGAGTGCCCTGAGTGTGTGCAGCTGAACTGAGGTGGGAGTAAAGATGGTAAATTATCAAGGAAAGAAGGGAAAGTAGTCTATGAAAGGGACAGCATACCCCTTTCAAGGTGGTTACCCAGCCCTGTCATTTAGCCAAGCCAGCTGGGAAAAAAGCGAGTGACTTTAAAAGCTACAAATGACTCGTTGAAAAGCATGTGCAGGTGGGTGGTGAATTCTCGCTGGCTATGAAGCACAGGGGCTGAACAGAGATCTGGGACCTGTGGTTGTCAGGCTGCAGAACTGCTTTACTTTGATGCTTAGCCTAAGCTGTATTTTGAAGAATAAAAATGGCAGAGAGGCTCTCTCTGGCCTAGGAGAAATACTCCATTACTTCCCACTTGATTTTTCACTCTACTATTTTTGGATACTTTTTTTTAAGAAGTCAGGACTCTGGTTTTTGTACTGTGACACAACCCTTTAACTGTGGCCACAGCACCCCTGAGGTAAAATCACAACCATGTGTCAAGAGCAGTGAGGTGAGTTCCTCATCTAACAAGAGTTCCTGAGGTCCCTGTTAAGTCTGGGCTTTCAGTTTGAAGATGTTACAACATATACTGCTGCATGGTACTTGTTAAAAGAGGAGATAAAGGCCTTACCAGAGTGTTAGGAAGGCTAGTGATGGGCAGTGTAAAGGTAAATGTGCAATGCAGGGGATTTTTGCCTTTCATCATTCCTTCCATCACAGTTTACTTTTTTAGATAAAATTGTTTGTCCTGTTGTAGTTGTCTGCAAATAATGGTTGTACTTATTGCATGTTTGTACTTATGTATTCATGTATAGCTTATTATGCTAATATATGCTAATACATATTATCTCATTAAAACCTGAAAATTATTCATCAGCCCATAATCACATGGCTGACTTGCACATCTGGAAAAATCATAGCCTAGGCCACAGGCAGATGATCCATTGCAGCTCATTCCAGGTACAATTGTATCATTTACGTTCCCAGTAGCATCTCGGACAACACAGGAGGCTGTGGAAACAATGATATATTTTTATTTTTCTTCCTTGTGACATTGAAAGAATGTTCTTACCACATTTTGACTCATAAACTGCACACTTTTTGTACAACTGGTGCCCTTAGACTCATCCCAAGGAGCAACATTTCATGTTGGGCAGGGATTACTTCCCCATATTGTGACTGAGTTTCTCATGGTCCTTGTAAAGAAATATTTGCGTCTGTTACTTTTAAAATAATCAGCCACTTAACTCATATTCCTGAGATTAGAGACCCAGACAGAGATCAACAATCAATTGACTAAATCAGAAGTCTTTTGTTTTCCTGTTATCACTTTTAAAAGTGCCAGTATTCAGAGCAAACAGATCAGTGAAGCTTTTAGGTCTAGGCATATCCTTTTTCTGTTTAACAAGGGTACAAAATTACTTTAGAGACCAGATCCTCAGCTGTTCAGGTTGTCATAGCCCTGCTGACACCAATATGATGAGAAAAACTTTGAACAGGAAAACTTACCTATTTTCTTTTTGTGTTTATTAATATTTATGTTGTTTTTTTTTCTTCTTCTGTCCTAGGGTGACTTTACGATGCTGGTATCCCCAATCATCTGTTCTGTTTATGCTGGATATTAAGTTATACACCTTTAAGACTGGTTCCAAGAGCAAAGGGAGGGAAAGAAGTGTGCAGTTTGTGTTCAGAAATGGCACTCCTCCGTGTTCTGCTCTGGACTGTGTTGTCTGCAGCATGGACAGACTGTGGGACAGAGCTCTCCTTTGCTTTTTAGTTAGGTCTTTTTTTTCAGCTAGCTGAGGCAGAGAAGTTCCCCAGGCTGTGGCTTTTCTTTTTCTTGGATCTTTTTAAACCTGCTCTGGACTGAAAACCCAGGCAAACACTGGGAGCTCACCCCTGGGGCCTGCCAGGACCAGGATGTGGCATTTTCTGGTGCAGGAGGGACTGATAAGAGACTGAGAGAGCCAAGCTATACCCCACAAAAAGGACTTTCTGAATTTGCCATCTCTTCAGAAGAGCAAGAGGTTTGATTGTTTAATATTATTCATTTGTTATGCTTGTGAATACTTTGCTTGTTAAATAAGAAAGTTTTTTCCATTTTTCTCCAAAGAAATCTTTTCTGGAACCAGCTGGGAGAGGGGCCACTTAAATCTGCTTTCTGGAGGGCCCCCTTTGGAAGTTTCCTCACAAATTTGCCCTAAACCACAAGAAGTGAGAAGAAACGTAGGGAGTGTTGATCTCAATATTTTTAGTGGCCAAAATGTAAATTTATATGATGTCTTCAAATTTGTCAAAAACATTAAGAGTCAGGAAACTAACATGCAAACATTGGGTATTACACCAAAAAATGCACAGCTCTGAAGCTGAAATACAGCTACTGCTTGTGAGAGCAGAGCAATGTTCTCAAATTAGAACACCAACAATTTATAATATAAAGTGAATTTATAAAAGAAAGTGAAGAATGTCTACTTAAATTTTAATTGCAGGGAGAAATTTGATCCAAATAACTCAATGTCCTGAGCTGAGGCTTGAGTCAAGTATTCTGCCTTATGCATTAAGTCCAAGAACCACAGAAGTTAAGAAGACTTGAGAGTCGTCTCCCAGAAAAGTGAGTTCTCTGCAGGGCTTTCTTGTGGTATTGAGGTATTTCATCATAAGAAAGAGTGTTGCTTACAACCCTCTTTCTTACAATACTATTAAATACAAATGGAAAATTATTTTTCTTGTCCAGAGATTTATTGCTTGTAATGAGAATTTTACTGCATAATCCTCCAACACAGTTTATGGCTTCAGTACAGGCCTCGTTTTCACACATGCTCATTTTGTTACCTCACATTCCACTACTGTAGAACATGTAGTTGTGTAGTTTCTTTGAGACAGGCAACTGATTTCTGTCTTTGACATGTAATGTACAAAATGTGTGTGTTACTGTGCTCCTGTGATTCTCATGAGTATTCAGTAAGAAGACAAACAGAAGCCATGTGAAATTTCAGTGAAAAGCAGGAACAAAAGATCAGCAGATTGATCAGAGGTTCCTTTGATCTTTATTATGTTTGTGTATACTATATGCTGGTGATCTTTGTCACTGAATCTTATGCAAAAATGGGGACTTTTGTTTCTATTGATTGCTGCTTTTATTAAACAACTGTTTTGGCATACAATAAAATCAAAACTACTGTCTCGCTACATAATAAATCCATGACATGAAAAAGCACTGAGGCTAATCATTAATTTGCATGCCAAGTTTTCAAACTTAACTGTACAAAAGAGGACATGAAGCAGAGCTTCTGTACTTACCTGCACATATTGCAACAGCAATGTAAGCAATTGTGGTGATCAGAATGGCCAGCATTGTTCCCTGGGGTATGGCACTTTGTGGGTCCTTAAACAAAGCAGTGACAGGGAAACATTGTGAGTTTGTGTGATGCAGCCTGATTGCATTTGCATGCTGGGAGTTCTACTACACTGTGGTATGAAGATACCCTAGAGAGCAGATTTTTATCACTCTGACCTGCGCCAGCATTTCTGGTACCAACACGCAGACACAGAAATGCTTCTGTGGTGCAGCACTCCTACCCTGCACATAGTGAAGGATATTCTGCAGGAGCAGAGCTCACATTTATAACAACAGAAGGGTCCTGAGGTCTGCACTTCTTGAACTCCAAACTCTCTTTACGTTGCATTTGGCTTTATTTTAATGTTTAATGATGTAGTGGGTAAATAGTTACTGAACCATCAGACTCTCGTGGATGACAAGATGGGACCATTTTTGGTTAATTGGTAAGATTGATATAGTCACCCTGTACAGAATACAGTACTTCCGTGCTTTGCAACCAGTAATTGTTAGCTGGGTCTTCACAACAGCTTTCTTACACTGTATTGACTTAATTTAGATAATTTAATGAGGCTGGGTTATAATGCTTACAGACTGGCCCACAACAGTATCATCTTTGATAATGCAATTGTAAGTAAGAGTCGAAAGATCTGTACTGTACATTTTAAAATGATTTTTAATGCTAGACAACCTTACAATTGTGAGGGTGTGTTTGTTTATGCTAGGAAGAATTTTTTATGAATTTTCTTCTTATGTTGGTTTAGCCTGCCTTTTTAAGTCAAAGATTCGCTGTGAATGCATTTTAAGTCACAGACTTTTTTGTAACTATGCTTGTTGAAGGGTGAAAAACCAAAATAGAAATTTGGAGTTTATTGTGAAGCATGCATGAATTGCTTAACTGGATTAGTAATTAATATAACTTTTAAATGAGGTAAGGATTTATTGAGCTGGAAAATAATTGTGGAGTCACTTCTGCTGCAACTGCAACTTCTGCCTTTGCACTCAGACTACAGTAACTTTATGCAGTTCTGATGTTCATGTTTTAGGTCATTGTTTTTGTGGAATCTTGTGGTTATCTTAAGCTCTGTAATATTACATCTTAAGGTTAAATCTTCTTAAAACTCAACAACTTTTCTGTTCTACGTTTTTAAAATTTAAACCCATATTTACTATGCTGTTAGCACTTTAGGGGCTAAACCCCACTGAAGTCAGTAGACGTCACTAGGAAGGTGTCCCTATAAGTAGGCTATGGAGTAGGACACAACTTGAATGTGTAGTGGCTGCAGGAGCACAGACAAAGGTGTTTGTATAAAATTCTAAAGAAAGTTCAATTGGTAAAGTTTACACTTTTTAAACACTCCTTAGCTTGTCTTTTAGATTCTGGAGAGGCTGGTTAATTTAATTAGACTTGTCTAATGCATCTAAACATGCTCAGTGGGGAATCTGCTGCCTGGAGGACTTGTTTACCGAAGTCCACTTATTGTGAGACTGAGACGACTGCAGAGATCCAATGGGAGAACTGCTTCCCTAGGTCTGCTCGCATTGTTTCAAGCAGCTGATGAAAGAAGTGCTGCTGCACTGGGAGTCTGCCATGCAGACAGAGCACCATATATGGCAAAAGAATTATTTTTGTTCGATAAAAGGATGGAGATTGTGTGAGGCTGGTGCAGTCTCACTGGGCAGAAGTACAATGGTTTTTGTTTTTTTAATTAAAAATGGAATCTCACTGACGCTATCAGTGGCTCAGTTTCCACATATTTTCTCTGTGCTTGGCTTGTAAAGCAGTCCTCTGAAAACAAAGGAGCTGAGGCATGCAGCTCAGGGTTAGGAAGGGAAAGAAAATTGGCTCTCTGGGGTGGTAGGATCTGGTGAACTCGTGACTTCTGTGCCAGTACAGAAATAGTAGACCTTTAGTTGAATCTTTTAAGGTCTTCAAGCCAATGGATTTATAGGATAAGGCCAAATAACTTTATCTGACATGCTGGGGTTATCAAGCTGTGAGCCATGTCTTGTTGGTGAGGTTTTTTTTCTTTATTTATTTAGGTTGTTTTTTGAATGTTTTTGTCATGAAAACTGGAGGGCACTCAAAACTGATTTCTATAATTTACCTGCATGTTTAGATACTGGAAATTCCTTCCCCTATAACTGCTAAACTGCAAGAGGAGAATGGGGAACTGACAGAATGGCCACAGCAAGACAACTGGGCACCCTTGGACCTCCTTTCCCTTTCTCTTCAGACTCTGGTTTTTTTTTGTCACAGCTGCAAGCTTGCAGCTTTTTCTTTGAGCAGCAGTACTGACACGGGATTAGGACATACTTGCTTTAACTAAATGCACTGTTTGCTCTGCCCTTACTATGACCCTGAAAACAAAAAGCTGGTCTCCACTGATTCTTGTGAGTACAAACATGAGTTTTCCAGGTATGCTTTTTGGGACAATGGTTGGATTGATGTTTACAAAAGATGAGCTCCAAGAGATACACACGTAATTTCTCTTATAGCATGTGCTGCTAATGGACCATTAATGATATATTATTATAGGTTATTGAAATATGCTTTTAAAAGATATAGCAACCCAAATCTAGCTAAAGTAATTTCTGTAAACACCCATAATGCATTATGAGAGAATTTGTATGTTTTTAAATAATAAAGCAGGTACTTAAGACATGATTTTGAACTGAATACAGTGTTGATTCATGTTTTGTTTTCTTGTTATTTTTTCCAACCTCTGGCTAATATTATGATGTTTATGAAATACATACTTTCAGATCTCCTGAGATATTGGCTCCTGCAAGAATGCCAGTGGCAGCTGGGAAAAAAATGGCAAACACTGAAAAAAATCCTTCTCCACTTCTGAAATCTGGTCCAAAGTTTTCTGCAAATATTGATGCTGCAAATATAAGTGAGAATGAAATGTAACAGCAGGATTTGATTCCAAAGTTACTTAATGAAGGAGGTGAATAAGCCAGTCTTTCACATCTGGACAACTGGGTTTGAGTCTGTCTCACATCACAAGCAAAGTGAATTTGATTTCATTAGTTTGCTCCCCAGAAGGATGTGCTTGTCTGCATCTCAGAGCTACAGATCCATGTTGGAGTGACAGAAGTGTCACTGCAGCACTTGCTCTTAGCTGTGTGTTAAAAGTTTGTCTGTGCTCCACTGACGTATAAATTACTCAAGCTGCATCTTACTGTGGTGTCAGCTGCAGCAGCAGAGACAGACTCAAAATTAGAGATTAAATCCATTCCCTTTTTTTGCAAGCTCACTTAAACTTGGGCAGAAGATTCTGATCTTGTGACCTTTTTCAGTGGAATTCTTAGCTTACTATTAAGTCAAAAGAATGCAAACATAATTTTATGATAGGTAGAAGGTTGCTTACCTTGGTAATTAAAAAAGCCTCTCGCCTTCTTTTCAGTGTTGGTAGGAATGACTGTCCCAATAAAGAAGTTTGCAATGGCAACAAGGAGAACAATTAGAAGAATAACTTGAGCCTGTTAGTAGAAACAAAAAGATTCTCCTGTTGTTTTTAACTCTGTTGCTGTGGAGATAGCTATATAGTAAGTCATCTGTATCTGTTCCCTATAACAGGTTATTAATTTAGATAGTTTTTGAAAATACCAGGAGTCAAGATAGCTGAATCAGCTAATGACTACAGCAGATGCTTTTTACTAAGGGATTAATGAAATACAGTTATAATTTAATTTTCCTTACAAGAAAAGGCAAAATGGAACAGCTAATGCATTAGTATTAAGTAGTATGAAGTATAAGACATTTTTATATTGTTATAAATTTTTTTTAGTTGCAGGGGGTTGTCACTTCAAAGGTTATAATATCAAATTATTTTCTGATCTCTTTTACAAGTTGTTCTAGTCTACATCACAGCAAAAACAAGGGTGCTGTTGAATCTGTTTTCTGGACCCGATTTCGATAGCTTCATTCCACTCTCTAAAGTATTTCCATTTGAATTTGCATTCTGACCTTTTTTACAGGTGAAGGAATAGCAGAAATCGTTAGAGATTAAGGAATGGGTAACAAATAGAGCTCTTCTGCTGAGAAGGGCTTGAGAGAGTACAGTGATAAAACCATATATTGTTTTTGCTACTGTTTATTCTATCAAACTGCATCAAAAATAAGGGCAAAACGGGCACATAGCCAAAGTTCTAAATGATGCCATGAATTGTAGAAATGTATATAACCAAGTTGTCTGCAAAACCCAAACTTCTTTGCCTTTAAATGTATGCTCAAGGAAGAGTTTAGAGTAATTGTGCTTTCATTGAATGTAATGATTAAACTGTTACTGCTTTTAGAAAGATTAAGCATAAACTGAAACTGAGTGCTTTTGCAAATTCCATCTGTTGAATAGCATTCCTCACACCCTAATGCTTTACAGCAGGTTAATATACTGCTTGCTTTTATATTCTTTTAAAAGTTTACCTTTGCTTCCCATTCCATGCCAGCAACAGAGATGCCGAGGAGACACACCACAGTGATGGTCCCTATGATCCTGATGTCGTTGGACTCATCTACCATCAGTGTATCGCTCTCCTGAAAGTGGTTAGAAATGTTGTGAGAACCAGTCTTTCTCTGCCCAACTGGTGGGATCAAGTAACAAGGTAAATAGAAAGCAGTGAGCTGTCAAAGTGTCAGAGATATATGAGACCAAGTGTTTGTATGTCATATTCCAGCTGGCTTGTTGCAGTTGCAGTTGCAGTTGGGGTTATTTGGCTGTCTGTTCCTATTCTGATTTTGAGATTCTTGTCAAAAAATGTATTACATATATTCAAAAGGTAGAGATAATGAAAAAGCACTCTGCAGCATGTTTAGACAGACCAGCTTCTTCTCTGCTAAAGATGCCCCTCAAGCCTTAACTAAGACATATCACTACTTATTCAAATACATTATATAAAACAAACACCACCATCACCACCCCCCCAAAAAAAATAAAAGCCACACAAAACAAAATAGAAGCAATTTCATCACATACATGAAATATCTACATTTACCTTAAGAAGTTCTACAACTGTTTCAGCAAATCCAACTACATACATGGCAACTGCCACTGCATTCGCAAAGGCAAAGATAAGTCCTATAGATCCACCAAACTCTGGGCCCAGGCTTCTTGAGATAAGATAGTATGCTCCACCTGCAGACAGAAATTATTGTTATTTCAGCACATCAAAACACTCAGCTTTTGCTTTCTTTTTTTTCTTCCCACATTACTGGTACTGGAGAAATCTGTGCTTTTAATCCCACAAATATAATCAATCTTTGCCCTGCATTAATAGGGGACGCTGCAAAAAAAGCAATGTGCTTTATACTGGTTCTGCCTTCACATTTTTTGGTATGCCTTTCTATTCCAGCAATCTTTTTAAGCATATTAGCATGCAAAAGTGGACCTTGTTATAATTTTTCATGATGCATGATACAGTAACACAAAGGAGAGAGAACTTCACTTCCAAAAAGGTTCTAACTTACATGGATCTATCCCAATGTTAACATGAAAGGTCACATTCTGTGGTACGTAAGTTCCTGCATCATAGTAATGCAGTGAATCTTTAATGTTTTCTGCATTAAATCTACACACATTTCAATTTGCTGTTGATCCACTGGGAGCAATCACTGCAAATATAGATATTCTTTCTTTGCTTATAACACCGTTATCTCAAACCCATTTATTTTTCTAATTCAAATCTGCAGATTTTTGTATTTTTCATGAGCTCGTATTCACTTACCTCCTCTTACTACTCCATTAGTGCAAATGGCAGACATGGAGATACCTGTCAATGTTGTTACTACTACACTCAGAGCAATAACTATGATTCCAAGACCTGAAAGATCCGAAAAAGAAAGCATATGCAAGTGTATTCCAGTACCTGTTGTGCTTTAGTGACGTAGTAAGAACTTTCCATTTTCCATAGGCCTTAGATCAGACCAGTTATAACTTAAAAGCTCTGAAATGCACCAAAACTTTGTATCACAAAATACCTGTCATGGACTTTTACAGCCAAATTGTTTACCCGTCTTCCAAGGAGGGGCTGAAATGTAAGGAGTGTTATAAAGAAGGCTTTAAACTGAAGATATCCGCTAATCTGCATCAGTCTTCAAAATGACAGGAAGAGATGTCTCAGTTTGTTGAAGAATGTCCAACCTGGAATGCTCTGAATAGGAAAGACCGGCTGAAAGGTGAGAGAACTCCATGAAAAGCCAGAGCCATCCCTTGCTCAGCAGTTGGCAGGAACATCTGAAATGTACTTTTCAGACTGAACTGAAATCCGTGGCTTATTAGAAGTGACAGCTCAAACATGCCTTAAATTGTGATGAGAGGTGGCTAGAATTGTTACCTTCCAATTCCATTAGACGTGGCTTATGGTCCCTCTGGTTCGTCTCATACGAAAATAATACCTAAATACCTTTTGGGGCTTGAAAGCATTAGTAACCCTAAGATTTTTACCTCCACGGACAAACCCATTAGTTGCTATTGCAGAAGTTGACAACCCAGTAATTGAGGTTACCATCGTGGCCAGAAGAATTATGATTACTCCAAGACCTGTTAGTAATAAGAAGATAAAATATTTTACTCATGTTCCATGTTTCCTGCAAATCATTCTTTCTTTAAATTGAATTTTCAGGCCAGAATCAGAGCAATAAACTGAAAAGATGGTTTGTTCACCACTTGCAGCTTGCAGAACATTTTCATGAAGTCCATGTCACGATAGTAAATTATTCCCATCAGTCTTCAAGCAGTGATTCTTTCTGATAGGAGTACCCTGCCCAGGAATTCTTACGATTTCCAAAGGATGGAGGAAATTAACAAACAGGCATGCCTTGACATGGATGCTTACATCTACCTTTAACACACATGGCTGTTTAAATAAAGAAATAGACACATTAACCAGAGCTCTTGTAACAATGCTGTTTCTTTCATCAGCTGATTAAATGTTGAATCAGAGGGAGACTGACTGTATAGATTCATAATGCATGAAGACAAAGAGCCTGTCAGGCAGAGGAACAAGACCCGACTGGGAGCCTTCTACATCCTCACTTGCTAAACTATCAAGTGCTGGGCTTTCCCACCCTCTGCCCATTGGCCTCTGTCCCTGCAAAGAAAGTAGCTTTACTCTAACACAAAACAAACACTTGAAAATGGAAATACTGCTCTTTAGATGCCATTTACTTTAACAGGTGACCTGTAATGTATAGTCATAGAGAACTTAGAATTTTTCTTTTATTTAGCTCATATCACAATGATAATCAAACACCAGAATATCAGTGATAGGTGATTAGTTATACATAACTGGGTTTCAGTGTAAGACTGAAATCTGAGATTATTTCCAATAGGGCTGGGTTTCTGTTAACTTTGAAACTGCTAGAAACTACATGAGCAGGATGTACTTTGTTTGATTTAGAATCATAGAAGCACTGGTTTGAAGTGACTTCTGAAGGTCTGTAGCTCAACCTCCCATAGCAGAGCTACTGCCAACACAGGATTAACTCAGTGATGACCTTGGCTCGCTGGCTCTTGAAAACCTCTGTGGATGAAGATCCCACAGCCTCTTTGGATTACATGTTCTAGGGCTGGACTGCCTTCCCAAAAAAACCCCTTTTGTTTGTGTACAAACTGCACCTCCCAAGGTACAATTGCTGCTACTGCTGTTACATTTCTGGCACTACCTAGAGGAGTTTGTAGTTCCAGATCTCCTTTTTTATTTCAAGTCAGGTGAAGAAATAATATGTTTTCTCTCAACTTTATTGCTTTTATTCTCATTTCTATCTATGAGAAGGAAGAGAGAAAACCGGAGAAAAAAATAAAGAATTACAGTTTGGTGCCAAGCCTGGAATCAGTTCTTAGTTTCATCTGAACTTGCTAAGGCTTATGCAATATCTGCCTTGTTTCTGTAGGGTACAATAGGCATTCCATAGGTTCAATAAGCATTCAGTGTGGAGAATATACATTGCTTGCAGCTGCATTTATTGACCAGGGCTCATCCAAACTGAAACTTAGATCCTACAATTGACATTGAGCTAGAATTACCACAAACTCATTGATTTATCTGCTGTATTTCTACCATCTGACTTATAGATCAGATTCCTGAGTTCAGTTCATACTGGATGGTTATAGACATCCAGTCCCTGAATTAATGTTCTTTGCTGCTTAAATTATAGCCATGTTATCACAATCCTTCCTTTAAGTTAGAACAATGTAATCTGTGAGCCATAAATGATATATAACATAGTATAGGATATTTAAAGTGAATTGAGCCTCTAATAAATCACGTTAACCTTACTGATTTCTGAACTCTTACTATAACCAGTCATGCAAGTGTTTTATGTGCAGGTCTGTATAAAAAAAATCCAAATGGTCATTCTTTTTGGTCAGCTACTATTACATAGAAGCATATTGTTCAACCATGCAAATTTTGTGTCTGAGAAGTGGCTGGATATGATTTTAAGAGCTGTTAACTCTTAAACTGAGTAAGTGGACACAAAATTCTCAAAGCAGTTTTGAAATTATTTGCTAAGTGTACATGCATCCTAAGGATACTTTTCAAGGTTGTTCTATTGCATTTCTCAATTCATATTGTTAACATGTATATGATATATAGGGTCAGATATTTTGCTAATCTGATAGTAGCATCTTCATGGGAAGGCTTTAATCAAAATTTAAAATAGAATATTTTAGCATTTAAGAAGAAAAGTGCATAAAATAAAGTGTCTCAAGCAAAACATCATTGTAATGTAACATAATTTTAATATTCGGAGCCAGATTTGCAGGTAGCATAAACTTGGTGCTTTTCTCTGCCTTTGTCTAACCATTCCATGTAGAGGTACAAATACAGATTTCAGAGAGTCCCCAGATATTAGCAGACAGTTTTGGACCTGGAATCTTGTCAGAACCATACTGTCCCTTTTTTCCTAGCTGATGATAGCCAGAGATCCTTGTGGAATCCTATTTTTTCCCCTGTAAGAGCTTTTGCCCAAGACAGCCTATCAGGGTGTGGAAATAATTGGGTTGTCTCTCTTCGGCCCTCTAATGATGGGGATGTAAATGGTGCCCAGATGGTGGTTTAACAGTCTCATTTAATTTCCATGTTAGCAGCAGTACCCAGTGAAATCCCTGAGCCCTGGTGATGATGAGCTTCTATCACTGTTCTCCTTAAGCAGCTTGGATGGGGACTTAAAGCTTATTGCTTATAAGGTATTCCAAAAATGCATTGAGAAATGATTCAAATGGAATTTGACGTCTCATTTTCAAAAGTAAAAGAGTAACATATAACACTCGCATAACACATGCAATTTAAAAAAGCAGCAGCAGAGCAATAAACCATAAGAAAGAAGATCCTGCTTATCAATGAGTTTAAATGGTAAAATTAAAAATTAAAGCAGAAAGGTTGTAACTGATGTTGGTGCAAATTAATGTTAAAATCTGATTAAAGTTTAGATTGAAAACCAGGCATATGGCCCCTAAGTAAGTTGTTCCAAAATGAATTACTCTTGCCTATGGCTATTCTCACACCTCAAAACAAAGTAATACTTCTTGATGATCTCAATAAGTTACTAAACTGCCCTTAAAAACTAATTTTGCATGAAACCCCAGAGCAAAGTCTTGGCAATATTAAGATGCAGAATTTTCATGGCAAGGCATATAGTTATGAGTGCCCTGGGCTGTATGTGCTCATTTGGTATGCATCATAAAGTCAGAAAGCACCCTTTTGTCAGGCACAGTGCTGGAGCCATGCATGGAGCACTGCAGAAGTAGTAAAGTTCTTCCGCTTAGTTCTGGATCTTTTATCGTTGGTTGGTTTTTCTTTTCCCATTTGTGTCTCTGTAAGTTTGTGATTTTTTTCTTAGTAAGCATTTAATTTGTTATCTTTTTATTAAAAGGTCAGTCTTGCTCAAGTGAAACTTCTAAGAATGTACTGCTTTTTATTGGAAATGAGACTTCAACCATGCAAAATTTTCATGATTTTTCTTTCACTTCCATTGACAAGGATGTGAATGATAGTTATATTCAATCTGATTTTGAGCAGTGACTTTCATCCAAGCCCAGCAGAGCTGACACCCCTCAATATAACTGAATATTTCCATTCTGTGATTATCCAAACTGGACTACTTGCCATCCTGCCTTTGCTGTTTTTTGTAACATCTGGGTGCCAGTCAAAAATCAGGGTCCCATTGCTCTAATTGTATGATGATGGATCAGAGAGGGACACTGCCATGGCAGCTTAGGTTTCTGTGCTTCCCCAGAGCAGGAGCCCTAAAAAGGGAGTTGTAGCCCCCAGCTGTGGGACATTGCACTCGCTGAGCTGCTCTTGCTGTGCTGGAGACTTGCAGTGATGGGAGCACTTCCCTCTCTCAGTGGTTCCACTGAACACTGCAATATTCTGGATGGAGGCCTCTGGGCTCAGTCTCCCAGGGATTTGGGTTCTGGAATTTGGGTTAATTAAATTGCACAGTGAAAAAGCAAAGATACAGCACACAATGAAATATACTTATTTCATTTATATGAAAGCTGTAGCAGAGTTTTTAAAACTTAGTCTTTCATAGTACAGTAGTATCAAGTGCTGTTCTGTAGTTAAAAATAACAAAATCCTGATGAGCTGAGACCTCCTTCCAGTTCTGTTTTCATCTTGGCAGAGAAGTGTGAAGAAGTGTTGTTTATAATATGTAGATGACAAGGTTTGGGTTTCACAGATAAGCAAAGTGTGAACTCTTAAAGGTTAACTCTGTACGCACATATTAGAAATTGGCCCGAGTCATAAAGTTTACATCTGTTACAGGATCTAAATACAAATTTCACTAAAACTCAGAAATATTCAAATGTGATGATCATATGCATAGTTAACAGATCTGTGCCTCTAAGCAGTAATTTGGCTGTGAGTCTGGAAAATTCCAATAGTTTGGAGGATTAATGTCTTTTACCCTGGCAAGCATTTGAAAGCATGATTTAGTTCAACATGCAAATGCACATCTCAGATTATATATTAATCATGATCATGTATAGTTTATCCTTTTTATCCCTTTCACAGTTGAAAACGATATTAAAAAAGATACATACCAATTCCCGCTTGACCTACAATCCAGGATAGTCGAATAAAGAGCATCACACCCCAAATATTAAGCATGCATCTTACCTAGGTTTTAAAGAAAAATTATTGCATTAGTTCAGTGTTGAAAGTAATGTTTAAAATCAAAAGGGTGATAAAGTCCATTTCACCCTAAACATCCCTGAAGTCTGCCTCCCTCTCGTAATTCTTCAAAGACTTAAGTGTAACAGAACTGATTTTATTTTCTTTTAATGATTTTTTTAGAAATACAGCTAAGTTTCTCACCAGCACACCCTTCACCCAACCAAACTTGACAAATCCCGTTTTGTTTTCTTCTTCCTTGCTGACTGCTGTCTCATCTCCAGTGGTGCTTTCTCCATTTACCACTCTCTCAACTGAGCCGGTGCTCACGGCAATGTTCTGGAAGATCACACAGAAGACAAATACATTTTTTGTGCCAGGCAGAGGACACCTGGCTGCATGAGGGAGACATAATAGAAAAGAATTCAAAAGATCAGGAGTCTTATTCAGAATGTTACAGTCACTGCAGTGGAGAGCAATATTTTGCTTACACCAGGCATCAGTAGGTGGGCTTGTTAACAAGGGAAGGAGATGAAAGAATCACTTAAGCAAAGTAAATGCGTTATTACCTGATCTGATACAAACCCATTTTTATTATATTTATTTATATTCTATTTCTAATATATAATATTTATTTATATTATATATCTATTATATTTATAGCTGTTTTATTACACATATATGTTGTGTTGACATGTTAGTAGAACAGCTAACACAATGAGGGTCTTGTGGTTGGTCTCTGCGTGCTCTTGCAACAATTTATGTATAATGCTAAGTTTAGAAACAGGGATAATTGCAAACAGTGAAAAGAGACCTAACTGAGTGCTGCATGGTTAAATTCTGTGATGAAATCTAGTGTTTCCTATTGAATGAAGTACAAATATAGCTGCAGCAGCAGATGGGTAACATATTCCTGAAAAAAATTAGAGAAATGACAGTGAAATATAGAAATTGAATAATCTGTTCTGTGGCTTAGCCACCACTGGTGTTACCATAGTAGATAGGATTAGGAATTGCCATATTTTTGGCGTAACCAGAGTAAGTAGCCCAGAATTTTAGATTATTAACATCAGTTACAGATATAAATGTGTATTTTATCTCTTCAGCTCTCTTGCCCCATAATCTTTGAGGCAATTTAGCCCCAATATGTTTCTTGTGGCTTGAATGGGAATCAGTCATGGTGCTGAGACTTATACTCATTGTAATTGTCTTAATTTAGTTGTTTTTTTGTTGTTTATTCAGAGCTCTCACTGTTTCTGTGAGGAACTGGCAGTAGGTTAGAAATTGCCTGATTTTTCTGGGTCCTCCTCAAAGTCCTTCAGGAAGGACCCTGAACATTGCCATAGTCTGGCAGAGAGTCAGGAGTGGGTACCGCTCCTGGAGAGGAATCAAGATGTTTTTAGGCTTTGGAGGGTGATGAAGATATTTCCAGATTAACTAAGCAGGTCAGGGAGGAAAGACATCTGTGATTCTGTGAAACATGAGATTTTAAATCTTGGTTAACTTTAAGGTTGTTTCTATATTTTGTCCATGAATTACCCTGAAGTAATAATGTCTATGTTTGCTAAAAAATAGCCAACACACAAACCCAAAACAGACATAAAGACCAACTGTATATGCCTCTTCTACTAATGTTTGGACTTGCCTCTCAAGGATGGGGCTCCAGCCAAAATGATGTGAGGTTTTAGGATGCCTTTGACACAGTAAATCCTGGACTGTGCTCACAAATGAAAAATAAGTGACTGGATAATATGTTTTGACATGGGCTAAACTTGGTGCCATGGTCCAAAGAAAAGTGGGAATACAAGATCTGTTGAAAGCCTGTGACTTTGAGCTCCTTTGAGATACTTAGATAATTTTAACAATTCTTACCCTGAAATAATAATGTCTGTGTTTGCTAAAAATACAGTAAATGATTGAAGTCAATGAAGGAAGATCAGCAGAATAATATGACAGGCTTTTGCTACAGTGGTTAGAATTTCAAAGACAAAAAAATTAAAAGGGTTTGGTCTTTGTACTTGAAACAAGTTGTTTCCTCTGTACTTTGAATTAATTTGTGCTCTCCATGCTATTATCATAAATTATGGCCTTAAACCTTCCATAAATGCATTTTAAATTGGTGTGCTTTAGTGAATGATTGGTTATTTACCAAGCAGCTGTACCTGTGCTACTCATGCATTAAGGATGTGGAATAAAAGTGACAGAACATTTTGAAAAGCTACTAAAATAAAAAGTTAACTGCATTAAAAAAAACACCCAAAAAAGAAACTAACCCAAACATTTTCCTTTCCTTGTTTCAGAATGGTTTAATCTTCATCTCTCCTGGGGCTAAAGATGATGAGCTCATCAAATCTCCAGAACAAGTGTGGAGAATAGCCAAGAGGAAGAAAGGTTAGATTATTTCTTGTGTAGGGTAAATATTAAGCCCAAGTAATTATCACCAGCCATCAGCTGTGAAATAGCAGTTAGACTATTTTTTAGGGATTTAATTGGCTTAATGTGTGCAAAAGCTGACACATCTTGCTAAAAAATGACATACATTTGACTCCAGCAGTGTGGAAGCTAGATATTTGAAGTTCCTTCCAGCCTTTCTTACATTCTGACATTTGAAAAATTACATATTAAAAAAATGTATTAAATATTAATATTTCTCTTCTGATGTTAAGCCCAGCATCAAAGCACAATGGGAATGCTTATGTGATGTTTAGCAATCTGAAGTCAAACATATGCCACTTCTTATCAGAATCTTGCAATGGGCTCTGACGGAGCAGTTGTCTTCAAAAACTTGAGTTTCAAATTGGGGGTGAGGGGGGTGGGATTGCCTTGGGGTATGGTGTGGTAAACCCAATGGTTAAGTAAAAAATGAATAAAGCATCTGCTTCAGAAGTGCACCTTGGGCTATTACTGTAACTCCTGTCCACGCTCAGTGTGGCATCTCCTCCCCTCCTTGCCAGGGGCTGGAGCCCCATCCAGCGCATCTACAGCCTGGGCCTCCTGAGAGGAGCTCTGCCTTTTCACACATCTCAATTCCCTTCCCTAACAAGCTCCTATTTGGTGACCTCGTGTTTGTTTATTCTTCAGCAAAAGCTCTGCGGATTGAAGTGATTTGTCCAAGGTCACCAAGTGAGATCATGGGACAGCCAGGAATGGGCTCCAGCCATGCTAATGGGGCATCATTTGTTCCAGAGTTGTGGTTGTGCTCCCAGACCGGGGCCACAACCCACATAAGGGCACAGCAGGTTGCCAGTGTAACAAAAATCCCATTACCTATGACATTCACCTTCCTATTTTGAAAGGCATAAGATTATCTTTCTGTAAGATGGATACTGGATACTGGAAAAAGTCTGGAAACCTCTGAGTTAGATTATTTCTCTTTTTTCTAACAGTCCCAACAAGTGAAAAAAAATTCTCTTCATTTTATTCCATGATGTAATCTGCCTTATTTTTAATCATCTTTAAGCGAAAGCCTTTAAAAAAACCCTAAAATTAAAATTACCTAATTTTGTTTAAGACATACAAATCACTGAGAGATACAACAGTAAAACCCCCAGAATTTTCTGGTTGCCATCAAAACTGAAAATTCTTTAATAAGCTGATGTTCAGTACATGGTCATTCAGCATTATGTTCAAAGCCAATATATGATTTTACTCCTATCTGGCCACTACTGAAGTAAATTATTTCTATAAGAGGAAATTTCTTCTGGGCATGGAAATGTGTTTAGTCATTTGAGTAGCAGTTTGTACATCTGCAAATGAGTAGGGGTACTAAATTAGTATGTTTCCCTTTTCCTATTTGCTTTGTTATCTTTGGAAATGTTTCTCCTTTTAAGCCATTTTACACAGGTCTGTGGAGAGTTTAATTTGAGTAAGTCAGGCCAAAACTTTTTAGATCTTTAGGATCTAAAAAGATCCTAAACAATCAGGTCCTGATTTACTAATGGTTATATTTTTTCTTGATTTAATTACTTTACATTAACCCTCCGTAGGAAAGAGGAATCTCCAGAGAACAGAAGTCTGAACAAGATCTGGACCAGCATTCAAAAATCAGAATCTTGTTCAAATTATTCAGACTTCAGAAGTATGAAAAACTGAGCGGAATGGGGATGAGAGCCTGTTTTCTCTCAAGTTTTCTCATTTCACAATTGTCTAACTCTAAAAAAAAAGAACAGGATTTTTTGCTGCATATTGACACTTTTAGTCTCAGTTTAACTATGGCAATGATATTTCTCTTTCCAGCCCTGCCCTGATAAGTGCACAATTAACCTCAAATTTGTTCACTGAATGAGCACCTGCAAAGGGTTGTCTGCTACCCCTCAACACCCTTGTTCTTGGTTCTTTCTTGCTGTATGGTAGTGCTCTGGATATCTGATTAACTGAAATTGCATTTTTTTCACATAATATGCTTTATAATACTTATATTTGTTAATGAGTATAACAGAGGAATCTGTCAAAATTAGTTATGCATTGATGTAAAATTCAAGTGTAGAATACGTGTGAATTGTGTAGCTTGGTTAAATTATGAATTGACATTCACCATCTGCCATCCTAACTCTTATGCGAAACAGAAGAGATTTGGTAGATCCATACTTTTAGACAAGATTATGCTATGTTTTTCTGCTTATCAAGTACATTACAATTACCTTCTAATAAAAATCTTTGAGCAGGGTACAGAGCAGAGAACAAACTTCAGCTACCAAAGGAAATATGGTAAGTAGTTACTTGTACTTCTTCTCTTGGGCAAGGTCCATGAATTTAAGGACTTTCTCTTATTAATAAACAGAATTAACAGTCTGGAAATGGAATAGAGAAAAATGTTATCTTTCCTTTTCACTTACCTTTGCCAGTTGTTCATGAATTTCTAATAAGCTTGGTCTGTTGAGCTTATTCCCACTGACGCTGCCAGTGTTTCTATAATAATCAATTTTGGGAACTGGGTCCATTGTGTTATGGCCAAAAGTTTGTAGATAGTACATTTTACTGTGAGTATCATAGGGATGTAAGCTAGCTTCTGTTTTCTCCCCATTTTGACAGAAATTGTCATATAATTCTCTTTTTCCTGGTCTGTAACTGATTCTTAGTCTGTTATGTGTTTCATCGGTAAAAGATGTTTCTTCATAATGTGGTGGGTCAGAGCCCACATCCTCTTGGGTTGTTTCATTGTTGTCATGGTCTTCATTAATTATGTTAACTTGAAACCGATTTGCATTTGGATCCAAGAATACATTTGGTGCATTGTTCATTGACATCTTCAGGGATGCTACAGACTTAGGTCACTGATCCGTGTACTCTTCTGTGGCTGCAGCCACTCAGTTGCAGATACAGCAAAGGTTTTAGTGCTGTTGCATATCAGATCTTTGCTTCTAAAAGAATCAAGGGCTGAAAATTTTCTCTTGAATCTCTAAGCAGTTTTCCTGATGTTGGTTGCCAGTTTTCTGCTATAAAAGATATAAATAAACTATTTCTATTATCTTGCATGGTTAGATAAGTTTTCTACCACAAGCTCTACCCTCTCCCCTGCCTCACCAAGTGTCCATGAGACTATCATCCTAGGACATAAAAATTTGAGTAAAAACATAGTTAAAGCAAAGACAGAGCTTGTGGAGATATTCCATCTGTGATGGATGCACTTTACCTTCTAACCAAACCAGCAGTATTTCGGTACAAGCTCCAGAGGAGGAAAAGGTCTGGGCTGTAAAGGGACCAAGAACTCCTCTAGTTTCAGTATGTTTTATGAAAACCCACAAAAGAGCAGGGTGACATGGTGAGCATCCATGTACACAAGCTTGGAACATGATTATGCAATTAACACATGGACAACATGGGGCTCACTCCTCTGTAGCCTGCTCCCCCAGTCTCTTCCAGGAGTTGCACCCTGTATGGGGTAGATGTTAAATCTGTTTGAGGTACAGGATTTGCATTTGTCCTTGTTGAATGTCATGAGATTCCTGCTGGCTCATTCCTCTGGCCTGTCTAGTTCCCTCTGAGTGGCAGCCCGTAGAGAGGTGAGCACACAGCTGTGTACTCTGCTTCTCACCTCCTCTTTCCCACATAGATCTCCTCAAAGAAAACAAACAAGCAAAAAAACACTCCAAGAGAGGAGGGTTACTTATATTTAAGGTCTTTAGGTATTAAGTACCTTTGCAGCAATTTGAAGTAAGGCTTAGAAAGCCCTGAAATGAGCTATTGAAATGATGGCAATTGTGTGTCTGGAAACATATTTCTAAGGAGATTAGGGAGTGTGGTTGTATAGACCTGTATAATTCAGTAGGCGCCTGGTTTGTTCAAAGGCACTAAACCTGAGCATGCTTAGACATCGAAACTCTGTAAGCATTTGTAAAAGCAGAAAGTTTTAGAAACAGAACATATCTTATAAACAAATATATGACTTGAAAATCTGGATAAATAAGCCCATTACAGATATTTTTAAAAGTTCCATATTTTCGCAAGAGGTTGGACTAGATGAACTCCTAAGATTTCTTCAATTTAAATTTATCAAAGATTTTGTGAAATGCATTTGGCCTTTGGCACTGAAAGATAAAATGTGATATCAATATTTATAACTCAGCAATGTAAATTTTCTCCAAAATCACATATCCAAATTACAATTTGAACAGCTGATAATCAGATGTCCTCCATCTTTAGTATGAGACACAGCTAAAGCATATTTTCTTATTTCTTCTATCAGCTATAGGTAATCTGCTGTCACCTCTCTGCTAAGACACCATTTTGTCACCCCCCATATTTATGTTCGTTTTCCTGCCTAATGTTGTGTAAGCCTCACAGCAACATATTACATTTTTTTAGTTTATTTTACTTCTACTGGCTTTGTATTATTATTATTATTATTATTATTATTATCATCATCATCATCATCTTCATCATCATTATCATTATCCTTATTGTTATTACTGCTACTACTACTACACATTTATGATCATAGTATTCTCCTTCCTTCACCCTGTTAAAGTTGTAAGGAAGTGTTTCATCTTCAGGCATGAAGGAGCAAAACCAAATCTGTCATTGAGGTCAGTGAAACTGTGTTTGTTTCCATCTCCATGGCTGAATGAAATCCTCATTCTTTGATGACAATGAAACTTTTGCTACCAAGTAAAATGATTCTGTCATTTCACTGTCTTATTTTCATATTAGTGTTTTGCTAGGAAAAGTAAAGGCTCTTACCTTTCTGCTGTTCTTGAAAATAATAGTTTGGTTTTCACAACGTATTTCCAGAGATCTCTGAACTGTTATTTGCTATTAACTTTGTGCGTAGTTTCCTAGCATTATGCATAAATCATCAAGTTTACCTTATTCAGGGTAATTTAACTTACCATTCAGTCCTGTGTTTTTAGGGAAGGACAATCTGCCTCTTTTATACAGACATATAGTGTGACCCTCTCTTTGAGGCATTACAGACTCTGCCTTATTGGCCAGATTTTTCTCCTATTTAATATACTGAATAAGCCGTCCAATCCTGTTCTTTCAAAACATTTCTAGATGGTGATTTAGAAAGGCATTCTAGCTTGTTAACTTTTAACCAGCAAATGTACCTATCCATTACAATTACTGGGTTTATGGCATTGCGAAATTTCTAAGGGGCCTGAAAATACTTTTGTTATCTCCATTTCCCTCCCAGCTATGCCTGATTCTGCACAGATCATATTCTCTCTATCTCTCAGTTCTGCATATATAGTCATGCAGATAAGAAGAGTTCAGGACAGGATCTGTGCAGTGCATTTTATGCAGAAGATTCAGTGAAGTCAGTGGGATCATTCTTTGGGGGGTCCTCTTGTCCTACATGTTGTTTTAAAGCATTTACTCCTGACCTATTTAGTTTTACTCTGTATATTTAAGAAGCCTTTGAAAAATTATGTTCTTTGTATTGTTTCTGGGGAGGCTGACTTCCTAGTCTCTTTGGAATGAAGAAAAAAGCAGGCAGGAAGTGATGAAGCTTTGTAATTAGAAGGGAATTAGATAATTGCTTCCAGCTATAGATTGGGTCAAGAACAAAAATAATAAGACAATATTGGGGTTCAGTTGGACATGTTTGCAGTGTTTGCTGTGTAGTTTAGAGATAAAAGAACTGTATTTAACCCAGATAACTTAAGTACCTTCAGCACTCTAACCTGACAGCCCAGAGCTCAGCTCAGATGTACATAAAAAAAATAACAGTGGATGATCCTATCCACCACTAACAGATCACATGAATCATTGTACTGATATCTACCTTGAATTTTATGGCTAAATTAACTAGGATAAATGTAATATATTGAATCTCTGAGGGTCTGGAATTTTTTCTTATGTATAATCTGAAGCAGCTGAAAGCCCTTATATTCACAAAATTGTTTATGTTTTATAATTTAAATGGACCAGTGTAGATTAATATTGGTTGTTCCTCTCTTGTATTTTTCAGACAAGAGATTCATGTCCTTTGCTGTACAATCGAGTATTTTATGTTCCAAATGGCACCTGAGGTCTGCTGTTCCAATGTCTGTGTCTGCCTAGTATATAGGGCAAACGGAGTAACACATATTTTCCAGAATACATGAAAAAGAAAACAACTGCTGTAACTGATCTCCTTGTCTTAGCTCCTCATTACAAACAGATCTGTTTAGCAAAAGTGACAGTGCCTAAAATTCTTATGCCAGCCTTCTTAAAAACGGAATTGAATTTCTGTCAAGTACTGTCACACTTGCTAAACAGCTGTGTGTATGAGGGTGACCTTGAATATCCAGATTTGAGTCTCTGCTTTCGCTCTTTCACTTCTGCTTTGATAGGATCTTCCATGACCAGTTCATCAGTGATAGTCCAGATCATACACTGTGCACAACTGCAGGAGCACTAACAGAACCAGCTGTGGAGAGTGCTGGAGAGTAGAGCTCTGGGCCCCATTCCTCCTTGGAGGCTGGGTAAAAATGGGTAAGCAGCATGATTGTGTCTGTTTTGGCCTTGACAGGCTGGTGTAATTACTGCTGGGAGCTGTTAACCAGTTTAAGTTCCACTTTAAAGTGAATCATCTTCTGTAACCAAGTGGAATAAAAACATGGACACACACCTCCTGCAGACACCTCCTCTAAGCCATAGCCATTTGTCGTCCTCCACTTTTGTATCCTCAGTGTACAAGGACAGACACTGAGTTTCAGAAAATTGTGTTGGATGAGGAGGGCAGGGGGCTACCACATAAATATTCGGCATTCATGAACCTGTCTTTTTCTTCAGCCTGTCATGAGACATGGTAGCCATGAGATCCTCCTCTGAAGTGCCAGGTATCATCTGATCCTTAAAATACTGGCCATGGTAGCTTTCTAGTGGTTTTTTGTGTGTTTGTTTTCTGTTAGCCATTTCTTATCTACCATTCCACTGTTCATCAAATGAAAGCAACTTGAAGTACCTTTTGAGTTTGCAACAAATATTTATTTAACAAAATGGATGCCACCAACGTATCTCCAAAAGGCAGGTATGTATAACAAATGTAACAACAGTTGGTTTCCAAAATGAAATCAACATCAAGTTTAAGGCAGGATATTCTGTGAGTTTTCATGCAAGAGCATATTCAAATGTTCCTTTATCCAACCCCTCAACTTCATCTTCCCACGTGGAAGAAGGCATACTGCTGTAGGGGTCTAGCAAGATTTTGAAGCATCTGATAATTAGAAGTCCCAAGAAAACACACAAAATCCCCACAAAGGCAAAGCCAGTTTTTTGTTCTAAGGTCAGGGGGAAGGCAGACATTTCGTTGACACTCATGCTGGCTGAAGTGTTGCTGCAGTAATTACTGCTCATCATTGGGCATCACATCCTGGTGGCTCTGTGGGAGTTTCACCTCTATTGCTTCTTTGCCTGCATAGAAACGTCAAATCAGTGTGGTTAGCTCTAAATGGGGTGCATATATCTGAGCTCTAGCATATGAACATTTGAAAATTAAAACCAGCTTCGATTTTAGAAGCGTTCTGTTGTTTTTTCACGTTTAAATTAACATGATAAAATTGCAACTATTAGCCTCTACACACCATTTACTTATTGGCCTCTTTTTTGAGACAGCAGATTCACAATTTTCTGGCTTTCTGTCTCCTCAAAACAGAGATTTCAATCTACAGATTGTGATTTGGCAATATTCTCTAAGGTCTCCACATGCAGAAACCTGGTATGTTTCCTGAAATGGCTTTACATCTCTGTGCTTAAACTAGTTAAGTTTGCATTGACTTCAAAGGCAATTTCAACTAAATAATGTGGATATTACTCATTTGCT